GGGAAGGGGGTGCTTTGATTGTACCTCTCCCGCCCCCGTGACTTGGCAACGCGTTCGGGCAGCTTTCGGCTGCTGCCCTCCTCCTCCTCGTCATCAAGATCTAACTGACGCCGAGGCTTCTTCTTGCTGCACATGCCAACCACACACCAAACACACACAAGCAGATCTCCGTCTGTGCGCGGCGGTGTGGTGTGGTGTGGTCATCGGCGCTTCTGGCTGACTCACCGTCTGGCGCGCACGTCCGATTCCTCATCCTCCTCATCCCCATCGCCCTTGCCCGCCGCACCACCACCACCACCGCCCTTCTTGCCCTTCTGCTTGTCGGGCGTCGAGTCGACCCCCTTGCGCTTCTTGCCAGACGCCTTGGCCTCAGGCTCGTCCTCCAAATCGATAACGTCGTCACCGCCCACACCCTCCTCCTCCTCCTTGGCCGGTGCTGGGGCGGCTGCAGCTGCCGCCGCTGCCGCTGCCGCTGCTACTGGTGGGGATGACTCCTGCTGTTGCGACTGATGTGGGCTAGGTGATGTGGACTTCTTGATGCCGCCGCTGCCGAAGAAGCCTCGGATGTCCTGGGGGGATGGAACCATCACCATCACACCACACGCGCACACAGAAAGATGGAGCGTGTGCTTCCTCTGCGTGTGGTGTGTGGTGTGTGGTGTGTGGTGGAAATGTGTGTGCCATCCGTCCATCCATGTGTGTGCATGTGCCGTGCCGACCTGCAGGCCCTTCTCCTTGCCCTTCTCGTCATCCTTCTTCTTCTTGGGCGGCGCCATGGCGGGATGTCGACTGACGGGCTCAGCGGATCAAGGGTGCCGTCATGAATCGACCAGCAATGGTGTTTGTTGTGAGGCGAGGCAGAGTGGCTGGATCTGGGGCAGAGATGCGTTCAGCGGTGATCTAGATGAATGCCGCTGGAGGATGCTAGTCGGCTATAGGATGGGAAATGCGATTTGTCGTATCAAAGGACACACAGACGTCAAACCAGGCGACAAAATCTGCCATTGAGGCGCACCCTAACCCAAAATGTGACGGTGAAACACAAAGAAGAGAGGTCGAGACGAGCCCGCATGCGAAGGAAGGTTGTCTAGCCACCCGGTACCTTCTTTCAGCTTTGGGAAGTAGTCGAATGTAGCTAACCGCTGCCGGTTTGATACAATGTCCTCTCCAAACGGTCCCAATGCTTGCCCCGCCGCTGAGGCGGCTGAGATACTACCCGACGTCAAGAATAGCGACAACGCTGCCGCCGTACACTCCCCCCAGCTCCCCATTACCAGCCCATCGCCACCTGCGCATCACGATGCTCATGCAGCCGTCGGCAAGGGTCCCTCTGAGCCGCAGCACCGTGCTGCTCCCCAAAGCAAAGGCCAAGGGGGTGACACGGCCACAGGGGTCTCCCTCGGCAAGAAGCGAAAGCGCCGAGGAGGAGGAACAAAGCCAGATGATACTAGCTCGAAGGAGGGCGGCGGTGGTTCATCAGAGGTGTCAACGTTTGGTGCTGAGACGATGATGAAGCGCGTGACGGTGTCTGCGGACGTGGCTGAGCTCCTGCGGGCCATTGAGTCGCCCCTTAGGTCGGTGCTGGGGCTGGGCATCTCGCTGACACGCTCAGAAGGGCCCGATGACGCTTGGTAAGGACGCCCACATCAAACAAATCATGCACGAACGAATGGAATGGGTGGATATTGTAATAATGATTCCATTGCGTGTTCTTCTCTCTCTGTGGCCCCTGCCCTGCAGCCACCTGGTGATAACCGACGCCTCCCTGCAGGTCTCCCCCCTCCACCGGCACATCGGTGCCGCCCACCTGCCACCCACAGAGCGGGCATACACCCTCATCCGGTGGCTCGAGCACCTCGCCGCCCACCCATCCTTCACCACCGACCCCATCTCGCTGGCAATGGATCTGCAGAGGTGGCGGCTGGCGCGTGTGGGGGGCGTGAGCGGCCCACTGGAGGAGATATTCGCGAATGGGAAGGGGTGGTGCGAGAGGGAGGACATCCGGTTCGAGGGCGGGTGGGGGGACGGGTGGCAGGAGGTGGTGACGAGAGTGAGGCAGGAGGCCGACATGGCCACGCTCGAGATCATCGGCACGGAGGTCCCCACGGGCTTCCTGGCACAGGTCAGTCAGTCAGTGAGTGAATACACTGAGGGCGAGAGTGGGAACGAATGGCGACCGGCACTGGTGTTGATGTGTTGGTTGATGTGTTGATGTGTGTGGTTCATTCAGGGTACTCCGTCGTCATTGTCGAAGGGTGTGAGTGCGTTGTGGTCGCATCTGACGGCGGGGTGGGAGGTGCGGGCCCTGCAGATGCCGCACTACCTCAGGGACGTCTTCAGACACTTCTGGAGGCAGGCCGGCCAGTCGCCCAACGAGCAAAGTGTGTGAGCAACTAACTACTCATTAATGGATTGCATGTGGTTGGTTGCAACGGAAGGAATCGACTCGATCATCTGATTGATATCTTTCTCTCTCTCCCCGTCTGACCATGTGTGTGTGTGTGTGATGGTTCAGTGCTCGTCTGGACGATAGACGGCAGCGGTGAGGGCGACTTGTTGCCCCCGCCCCTCCTGGACGAGTCTGTCGAGGGCCTCGTCGTGGAGGCGCAGCTCCTCAACGCACTCAGGCTGGACGTCAACACCGAACTCATTCACAACAGGGCCGCCACCGCCACACAGGTCAGAATATGACTGACGAACGAACAAACGAACGGATCAATCCATCCGTTGTGTCTCTGTGTGAGTGTGTGTGTGTGTGTGTGTGTTTGTCACGTGCAGGAGGTGGCAACCCGTTCGCTGCCATCCTACTGCCACCCGTGGCAGTCCCACTTCGCCCCCAGCCTCCCCTCGCCCGCCTTCATATGGGTGGGCCTGGCCGGCCCCCCAAAAGCCCTCGCGCGCCTCCACAAGGAGTTCCTCGAGACTCTCCCATTCTGGCACTGCCTCCAGCTGCCCATCCCCCTCCCGCCCATCCCCCCTGACACCCCCAGCCTCATCAAGGCCCTTCAGAGCGAGCCCTTCACCGACCTGCTGGACGCCGTGCTCCACACGCATCACGTGTGCGGCAAGGTGTACCCGCCAGTATCGGAGTCATCGTGGGTCAGGGCGAGGCAGAGCGGTGGCGGGTGCGGCGGCTACGGTGATAGCGATGGGCCGTGCATGCACCTGATGCTCGACCGCAGCAACTGGGGCGAGGGGGAGGGTGAAGCCGATCGCACACTGGTGAGGGAGACAGACAGAGACAGAGACAGGGAGAGAGCGGACGGAGGCTCATAGGCGCGATGTGTGTTGTGTAGAACTTCCTCATGAACGGCCCAGTGCTGTCGGCCCGTGGCGAGCTCGAGACAGCTGCGAGAGCGATGGTGTACGCCATGTGTGGGCAGCCCAAGGCGCTCCTGCGGCTGGAGGCCAGGTATGCCGAGGAGGTCGGCAGGTCCCGCATGAGGCGGGGAGACTTCACCAAGGCCACGCTTGTCAGCGAGTGGCTGGCTCTGGGCGGCCCGGGGGGAGAGGGTGGGGATGTGGGCGTGGGCGGCGGGGCCGCGGTGGACGACACACTGGACCAGCTGCAGCGGGAGAACGCCGCCAAGCACCTGAGGGATGGGCTCAGCATCGGGCTGCACCTGGCAAAGGTCAGTTCCTTTATCTGCCGGAGGGAACAAAGCTCCATCTCGTGTGTGCGCACTCTTCTTCTTGTTTGGGGTAATTGTGGTCAGATGTGTCGTTTGGCGGGTTTGGTGTCTGAGGATTACTACCAGCAGGCGAAGCGGCTCATGAAGGACCAGTGGCACGGACGCACTCCTGCCGTGCTCATGCGTAAGTCAACACACACACCCCGCACACACGCTCACACCCACAAACCTTGGCAACCCATCTTCTGCTCTTGCCTATACCTCCCTCAGTGGGCGACCAGCAGCCGTCGATCAACATGTCCGACGGCCCCAGCGAGCCCTCCCTCACCGTCACCCAGCCACCCCTTCCCCTCTCGCCCGAGCTAGCACCGCAGCCACACACCCAAGCCCCGCAGCCACATAGCCCCCCCGATAACCAGCCATCACCGGAGCAGCTCCCCGACCCCAACACACAACAGCCGCTTCCAGAAGATCATCCGGAGGGAGGGAGAGAGGAATGTCGGCAGGACAAGACATCGCCCAAGAAGAGGCGATGGGACGTGAGGCCGCCATCCCCCGTGAGCATTGAGCCGCCACCGTGCTCACCGGTACAGTCTCGCCTGCCCTCAAGGTCGCCCCCATCGCAGCCTCGTGGACGGCGGTCGCCACAACAGCCGTCTAGATCGCCCCCCTGCCGGGTGCGCCCACCCCGACTCTGCCACCGCACCAGCCAGCGTCAGCGCCAGGACCAGCGGAGCATGTCGCCCATCACAGACGCAGCTGCGCGGCAGGAACCAAGACGTGCTGCTGAGCCCCCGCCCGTCCGCACACGTAAGGAGCTGCCCCCTCTGCTGCCCACACCACGACATGCGCCTAGATATTCACCGAGATGTAGCCCTAGCCCAGTGCCGTTCTCCGGTGATCGTGGTCAGCGAGATGCGAAGCGCCGGCGGCTGGGTGATGCGGCCATTGTCCCGTTCTCATCGTCCCGGCGACGGGGTGATGCAGGTGGTGGGGCGAGGGCGCCATCACCACGGGCTGGGAGGCCGTCGTGGGACGTCGTGAGGGGGGAGCGGCCGGGTAGTGAGGGGCTGGCGAGCGACGAAACATGGACGCTGGCGAGCGAGACGCCTCGCCACTCGGGTGGATCTGGGTGGAGGGGGAGAGGGAGAGGGAGGTGGGGAGGGAGAGGGGACGGGGAGCACCGCAGTAACAACTTTGGCCGAGGTGGTCGTTAGCGAAGATCGATGGATGGATGGATGGATGGACGGACGGAGAGAGGGCGAGAGAGATGCTGACAGATGAGATAGACAGGGGCGTGTGTGCCGACGGGCAGCGACTCATGGGTAGCTTAGCTTAGCTTGCTTAACAATTAGTTAAGGGAGAGGGGCGCATTGGTGGCGCTGTGTGTGTGTGTGTGTGTGTGCAAAGGTCTGGCTGGTGCATTCATTGTGTCTATCTAAGCGCATGTCTGTCTGTCTGTCTGTCTGAATCTGTCTGTGTACTGTACATACGACCGAGCGGGCGGGACGCACAAATGCAGGTCAGGTGTGCCGACTCGATGGAGTGGACGGGCACAGGCCTGCTTTTTGGCTTTGGCTCTGGCTTGGCTTTGTCGTGCGCTACACAATGCTCCTTTTTGTGATGCTATCGTGCTCATCATGCTTATGGACGTGTTGTCCATGAGAAGAAAGGTGCTTTCTGCCGCTTTCAGAACGGCCACCGAGAGAGAAGACAGCTGCTCTTGGTGCAGTGGTGTGGTGTGGTGTGGTGGGTGGGTGGGTGCTCCGGCCGTCGGAACGCTGCAAGGATGGCGAGAGCTCGATTGAGCCAAATGCAATCGAGTGCTTTCCATTCGTCGCCGCACCCAATGGGTGGAGCATACGCAACACCGGTCAGTCACATATGCATGGTTGCACACATTCATCATGTGAAGGGTTCTCGTTCTCTCCAGCTCGCTGTGTAGATTTTGTTCTTTCTTGTGATGGTCTGGCTGCCCACCGACCCTGAGTGCGCGGCCGGCCCATCACGAGACGGACCAGAAATCTACTGAGCGAGCTGGTGGAGACGGGGGAGTGAGAGAGCTTTTGGGGTCAGACACAGGACAGCTTGCTTATCGCGGCCAGAGACAATGATGCGATGCGAGGTGCTGGATCATCCATCGCATCGCATGTATGAGAGAGACTCGTGCATGTCAACGGTCAACGCACTATTGAGAGACAAGGTCGAACGGTATGGCAGGCCAGGCTAACCACTCGCTAGTCACCCTCACTACACACAGATGGTACATACACACATAGATGCCATGCCCCCACCCAGCTGAGCCATCTATTCTATCTATCCATCACATCAGATCACGTCTGTCAGTTGGACGCCTCGGTCTGTCTGAAGATGGTGCTGGCGGCTCTCTCTTCCTCGCGGCCGCCCTCCGGCTGGCTCAGCTTGTGCGGCAACCGCACCACCCACACCCGGCCGCTGGACGACGACTCCCCCACTGCTATCGCGCTCTGACCCGACCTGCACACACATCGACACACGCACAGAAGGACAACGGAATGCATTAATGGCTTTGACATGATGTGTGTGTGCATCTTTGCACCATCACCTTGATGCGCGGTTATACTGAATGGAGCCGACGCCGCCTGATAGATTGACAGACAGGGAAGGCACACAAGCATTGCGGACGCGCTCGTGTGGGCGTGTGTCAGGTCAGGTGGGGAAGGGTGGGTGGGTGTCCATTCTTCCCGAAGCTAAGCTACCAGGGTTGGTGCCCAGCGGCAGTGACACTACAGGCTGGTGTGTCGTCTGCATCAGGTCATACACCCACGCACCACCCCTCTAAACACACACACCAATCCACAACACACACACACCATAGTGTGTCCCTCCATCATATGTGGCTGGTGAATCAAATCGCATGATGCCTGTGCGGCGACGGCGAAGACCAGCCTTCTGCATGGGGCCCAGCAGGCACCACTGAGGGCACTCTGCGACAGCGACGGCACCGGCGGGCAAAACACTGAAGACAGACACATGGAGCAATGACACGAAGGCAGTGGTATCTGTTCTGCATCTCTCTCTCTCTCTCTGTGTGTGTGTCTGCAGCATCCCTTCTCTGTTACCTACCGTGTATGGGTCTCGCCTGCAGCACATCGAACACCTTGACGCTGCCATCAGTCGAGGCGCTTAGGAGAATCTTCCTGACTCACACACACACACACACACACAGGGACGAGACGGATGCATCTATCTCTCCATGGGTGTGTGTGTGTCCACCTGAAGAAGGGGGAGAACTGCAGTGCGGTGACGGGTCCTGCGTGGCACTCCAGCTCGGCCACCTTGGGCACCTCCAGCCACTTGTCCTCCGGCGGGCTCGACCGAAACACCACCTCGGCAGTCACCTCCTTCACACCCTGCACACACAACCACCCACACACAACCATGGTGAGTCCTTCTGCCTGTGCGTCCTTCCCCCGGTCAATTGTGCGTGCAGGCACCAGCCCACCGGCCCTGCCCACCTACCTACCTGTGACTGGCAGTACTTTTCTACATGCGCCTCGACCACCGCCCTGATCGATTCGATTCATGGATCCATCCATCCATCAGCACCAAATGTGCACTGCACACCCTTCGCGGACGCAGCACCGCCCTGTACCGACCTGTTGGCCTGATTGAGGTTGTCCATGAGCTGGAGGGCGCTGATGCGCCACACCACCGCCCCCCCGCCCCCGCCCCGCTTGTCCGTCTTGGCTGTGGGCTTGGGCGGCAGGCGCAGGAAGCCCCTGGCGATGGCCCCCACCTCCGAACCGATGGCAAACAGGGAGGGGTCGATGGGCGAAAACGCCATACGCACACCACCTGAATGAAATACACAGGGGAGAGGGGTGTGTGTGTGGGTTGGATGGATGGTTGGGTGTTTGCCTCCATACCGAATATTTGTCGCTTTGGTGGTCTGATGGCGTATGTGCGAAGGGGGTATGCGAGTTTGTCAGAGCTCTCGAGGGACCAGAGGAGGACGCGGCCCTCGCCACTCACACTCATCAGCCAGTAACCCTGAATGAACCGACGAACCAAGGAATCAATACGTTGGATGGATGGATGGATGCTGGCTGACCCCTTCCAGTCGCTGCGTCGTATCAGGAACCCACGCCAAATCACGAACCGCCTCCCTGACCATCCATCCCCCCACACACATGCACACACACATCCATCGAACGAAACAGAATGCGTCTGCATCCATCCTGCACTGCCCGCCCAGCCATCCATCGCGCCCACCCACTTGTGGCAGAAATCATCGATAGGTGACTTGGCGAGCACCATCCCATCAGGCTGCCCGTCGCCCTTGGTCAGGTCCCAAACCGCCACCTCACCATTGTACGTCCCACAGGCAAGGATGGCCGGCTCCGTGGGATGGAACGACACACACGTGCCGAAGGAGGCCACATCCAGCGTCACATCGGGCACATTGGACCGCTCCCCCGAGCGGTAGAGCGACCACAGACACACCCGTGCGGCCCTCTCGCACCAGCCGACCATCCCTGGCTGCCCGTAGCTGACGGCGATGGTGGAGCCCTTGGCGTTCCACGACACGCCCGTCACACACGCCTCCACCTCCATCGATGACGACCCGTACTCGTCTTCTACCAGCGGCATCGGCATGTGGGCGCGCTGCTTCTCGTGCTTTTCCCGCGAATTGGCCTTTGATGATGCCGATGCCGCGGGTGGCTGTGTGGGTGAGGGGGGTGGGTCGGGTTTGCGCAGCTCGTGGATGCATGTGATGTCTTGGTTGGTCTCCTCCCAGTGTGGCTGGTAGGCGGCGAAGGCCGGGGAGGTGCGGTCGACGCCGTCCAGCTCGGCCAGCACGTGTGGGGTGATCCGCCGCAGGAACGCCGTCAGGGACGCCTCGTCAACCTGAGGCTTGGCAGGCGCACCTGAACCACACACACACACATTGATGGACGGACGGATGCGAGGATGCGCCTCACCCACACCAGTGCAGACGGATCTCCCTCTCTCCCTCACCCTACCTGATTTTCCCTGCAGTGAATGGATGTGCTGCTGCAGCTGCTCGACGGGGTCCGCCTGCACCGTCTTATCCAGCACGTCCGCCCCGCTCTCCGGCCGCTGAACGCCTCGCTCCTTGAACACCACGTCTGTCGTTTCGGTGGCGGCCGATGCCGTTGGAGGCTTCGGCTCGGGAATGGACGGGAGGCTGACAGTATCCTGCGGGCAGTCACTGAACGAGGAAGCCTCGGGTGACGACATGGATGGATGAATGACGATGTCCGAAGGCGTGACTGGGAGCAAAGGGCTCAGCTATTTCATCTAGCAGGTGATCTGAATGCACACGAAACAGATCCAGCGGATTAAATTGTTCAATGTGCCGTTTTACCTTCTCTCTCCTATTCACACCTTCTTCTTGGCGACGCAGCTGCCGCGAGCTTGAACCACACAAATGATGCGAGCTTAGAGTCGAGCTTCGAGTGCTCGACATCAGACGTTTCCGGTATGTCAACGTCAAAAGCTTAGAGTGCAGAGCCTCCGTCTGCGTCAGAACAAAAGGCCGACTGATCCATCTGCTGACTCAGCGGTGACTGGGGAGCAACCCACTTGCTTGGCAGCTTGACTGACTTGTATCCCTCGGTCGGCCCAGCAGTGGCAGAGAAAGATGCAATGGCTGGTCACTTACGCGACGTGATCTTTCTTGGCCTGGGCTTCTTTGGCCTTTTTGCTGCCTTCAACACGTCACAGGTCCACACACACACACGCACAGACACACACACTCTGCAGTGATCACACTCATTCTCGGGGAATCACACAGTCCTCTCCCTGTCCGTCCATGAAATGTGTGTGTGCTTCAGGCTCTCTTGACCGTGTTCGACGGCGGCACTGGATTACTCGGCTTTGCCCTCCTCTACAGTGTGTTTGCGCTGACATCGTTTGTCGCCCCGCCGGTCATCGCCAAGTGGTTTCCTCCACGCCACACCCATCGATGGGCACTCGTCACCGGCAGCCTCCCCTACGTCATATTTGTGGGCAGCGCCGCCATCACAGCCCTGCCGCCCGCCCTCACGGTCATCTTTACGACGCTCGTCGGCTTTGGCGCGCCCCTCATCTGGACGGTGCAGGGGGACTGCCTGGGGCGCTATGCCGTGTGGGACGCCACCAATATGGCAACAGCAGCAGATGGCGGCGGAGGTGGGGTCTCTCGGAGCACTGAAGATGGGGCCGAGGAAGAGAACGAGGTCGCCTTTTCCATGAGCCAGGCGGACCTGTCGGAGGTGCCAACGAGGAAAGCTGAGGTGCAGCCGACCCCACCCGCAGTCCCAGCGGCTAGTGATGCCCTCAATGGGATGAATGGGTCTTCCCTGTCAGTCTCGACTTCGCCCCGTCCGTCGTCGCCCATCCGTGCCATCAGGGCCCTCTCCCCCTCATCCTTGCACCGGCTGCTTGTAAACTGGTTCCGGCAGCACAGGGAGCCGCCCGGCGGCCTGCAAGCCCCGTTGCTGCCAAGTCCGACATCGAGTGAGAAATCTCATGTTGGCGTTCAATGCGTCCGGGAGGTGACACCCGCACAGCTGACGTCGGAGTACAACGGAATCTTCTTCGGCTGCTTTCAGCTTAGTGGTACACACAATCAGGGTCTTCATGCAATCAGACACACGAGACAGGCCTCCTTGTGTTGTGTGTGTGTGTGCGCAGGTGGTGTCGGGCTTCTGTTGAGCTCGGTGATTCTGTATGCGACCAAGAACCACCCACTGGATGCAGCGCGTGCGGCTCTATTCACTACACTGGCTGCATGTGCTGCCGTGGGGATGGTGCTGCTCACATTGCCCAGGAGCGTCCCTGTGCAGGTGGCCGGAGGCAAGGGGATACACGACGCCGAGAAAACAGTGCCCTCGGCGCTAGAGACTCTCTGGTACGCATCCATCCATCCATTCATTTACCCACATACATGCATGTGACCGGCTGGCGAATGTCTCGGGTGTGTGTGTGTTCGTCTCGATCGTATCGATCAGGCTGGCGTGTTCTGATCCTCATGTATATTACCTGATTCCGCTGCTGCTGGCGAACGGCGGAATCCTTGCCTTCGTCAACGGCGACTTCAGTGCTGCCGTGGTGACGCCGCTGCTCAGCCCGGCAGCGACAGCGCTTATCATTGGGGTGTTCTTTGGGGTCAACGCACTCATGTCGCTGCTGTGGGTAAGGAGCCCTTCTCGACCCGCACACGCACAGGAGGCCGATATGATATAATGGCCTTTGTGGCTATCTTTCCCTCTCTGTGTGCAGGGTCTGATTATTCACGGCAGGTATATGCGGCGGTGGAGTGTGTTCGTGACGGCGGCCGTGTGTCAAGGGCTGGTGCTGATCTACCTCCTCATCCAGCGGGCTGTCGAGCCGCCCAACTTCACCATGGACACAAAGGCGGACCGATGGATGGAAGTGAGGACCCCTCGCGTCTGGGACTGGGTGGTGATGCTCGTGAGCGCCGTCCTGCTGGGAGCAGGTGATAGCGTGTTCGAGAGTCAGCTGTCAGCTGTATTCCAGACCTTCTTCCACGTCCACGACGCCAGCCCCACCCCCCCATCATCCCCGACCATCGCACCCGCGGCCGGACCCACCTCGTCAGCAGCATCGCCTTCGCACCCTGATCCAGGAATAATGGACCCGTCTGAGCGCCTTCTTGCGGCAATGGCACAGATCGGGCTTTGGCGATCGGTTGGCCAGGCCGTGCAGTTCTTCCTCTCTGCGGCCATGGCGCGGTGGCTGGGTGCGAAGCGAGTGCCTTGGCTGGCTGGGTTGCTGCTTGTGGAGCTGGTGGTGGCGATGGTGTGTCTGTGGCTGCTGCACACGAGGGTGGGTGCCTCTATTGATGTGGAGGCGGGGGGCAGGGGAGACAGGAAACGACGGAGATAGATAGGGTGCGTGATTGCCATGCCAAATGAAGTGACGGAGAAGCAAATGTTCAGATTTGGGGGGGTGAGTTGGCTGGACACATCGACATGTCTTCAGTGTACAAATAATGTCACACATCACAAGCTCTACCCGCCCACGCACAGATGCATGTACGCAACACATTCACGGCACGTGTGCCGACCTCCCCATCTAACTCGGTTATCTCGGCCATTGTGACACTGACGCCCGTCTCCCCTCCCTCTTGGGGGACCCCACACCCGTCGACCCCCTCTTCTGATCACGCGCCTTCTTCCCCCCTCCCTCCCTGTCCTTCTCCTTCTTTCGACTCTCTGCGGCTGTCATTGGGCTCGACCCGCTTGCGCCATCGTCGTCGCTCGTCTGTGCGACCGATGGCGGTGGGCCGCCCTTGCCGACGACCTCCCAGCTGCTCTCCAGCAGCTCCAGGGCTCGGTGGCCGGCCCAGCCCTCAGGGGCCGTGTTGTTGGTGCGGCTCATGAACTCAAGCAGGGCGCGGGAGGGGCCGTCGTTCTCCCATAACTCCATGCACCTGCAGCATCGATGGATGGATGGATGAAGTGCAGTGCGGTGCAAAGGTTTGCGCACTTAGTGAATCCCTTGACGGCATCTTTCCAGTTGCCTTCGATGTACTGACACAATGCCGCTCTGAAAGGATGCGATTCAAAGCACGGTACGGTGTCGTTATTCGGTTGGTCCGTCAGCATGTGTCCGTCCGTCCGTCCGTACCTGTGTTCATAGAAGAGCTGTTCAGGTATCCTTTCCTGCAGTGTCGTGAGGTCCTTGTCGAACACAAACATGTACTCCACACCAGGACCAGACAAGTGGTCCTCTGGCAGCTCGGCCAACTCCTGCGTGACATACACAGACAGACAGACAGACAAAGACACAGGCAAGCCAACCCATGCCTCCCTCCGTCTGTGTGCGGCAAGGAGACATGCTCGCTCCCATGTATACCGACACACATCACATCACATACCTCTGGTTTATGTATCTCTCCAAGGCAGCTGGATGTGTCCTTGCGCGGCACGACGTCGTCAGTGACGTCATACGCGAAGATGCCCGTGGGCTCGTGGAAGGCGAACCGGACAGTCACCACATCGAGCTTGCGGGTGCGCTCCTTCGCCTGCACACACATACAATACATATGCACAGGCAGACGGAGAGACACTCGTGCGATCATGGCTGGCTGTCGGGTGTGCGGCGGATCTTCCTACCTTGAGCGACAGCATGTTGTAGAACTGCTCCGACATGATGAGTGGAGTCTGGTAGACTTTGGTCGCTTCCTGACGCACAATATACACAGACCACATACATAGATCTCCATCCATCGACCTCTCATCACATCCATTACGTATACACACGTACCTGCAGTTTCTCCGTGAGGCTGACGTGTGGCGAGAGGTATGATGCGTCGATCTTGAAGTCTGACCCAATGGCGCCCTCGATGGCCCAGCCCACATGCAGACCGTACCCGATACGCAGCCGGTGGCCCTTGCCAAACCGCTCCACCATCCGGGCGTCGGTCTCGAAGGCCAACACCTCAGACGAACGCCTACACTCGTATGCACACCAGGATTGAGGGACGCAGACAGGCACGTGTGGTGTCTCACTTTGATTCGTCTACCTGATTTCGACAATAGCCTTAAGGAAGGCTACGAGTGCCTTGTTGGCCGACTCTGCCGCCTTCATTGCCAGGCTACCATCCTGCCAGTCACAAGGAGCAGTGCGTGTCACAGAGAGCAGGTATTGTCCCTCCCTCTCTCCCTATGTCTACCCACCCGGGCCTGTGTGTCGTTTGTGTTGCCAATCTTCCATGTGAAGAGGAAGGCGTCTCCGACATTCTTGTTGGCCGCGCCGCTCCACCTGTGTGTGCAGTGGTGCGTGATGCGGCCCACCAAATTCACAAACACCATCACATCCTCCTGCACAGAAAGCAACGGACTAATCAGGCCGTGCATGTATGTGTCTCCTGCTCACTGCCTCACCTCTAGAGCCTCGGTTGCGTCGGTGAATCGTCGAATATCGCAGAATCCGAAGATGGCCTGAATGCGTCTCCCCGGTATCATGATGTTGAGTTCGCCGTCTCCGCTGCTCATGTTGTTGCCGATGACCTCCGCGCCGGCCTCGCCAAAGCCCACCTGCAGGAGGCCGCCGATCTTGATGATGGTCTGCTCAAGCATGGACGTCTCCAGCTGGGGACCCTTCTTCTTCTTTCGCTTCTTCTTGGAAGAATCGTCGTCGTACTCGTCGATACTCACCACCTGATGGAGGATTGTACAATCAGTGGATGGACACACACACAGAGAGAGCACGGGAAGGGAATGACAGACATGGCTGTTTGTGTGTGTCGCTTGTTTCACCTCTGGCTTCTTGAGGGGGTCGTCCGCGAGCTGTTTGATAATGTTGACCATATTCTCTATCGGCGCGATCACCAACGCCTATACATGTACACCCACCCGCGTGATAAGATGGGGAGTCCGGTCTTGCGCGCGTACTTGTGTGTCTTTTGAGAAAAGCATCGCCAGTGTGCCCAGGAGGAAGCAAATGAACACCTTTTTCGTTGCGCAAGAGACAAGAATTCATGCGTACGTGCGTGTCGCCACATCCGTCTGTCAGTCTCGGACAAGTGAGTCACTCACCGTCTGCGCCATGTTCCACAGAGCCTCGTTGGTGCTCTTAATGCGAGTCTGAAGACACAAAGAGATGTCGGTTACGTTGCTTGCCTCTCTTTCTTTCTTCGTGTCTCTGTGAGGGGGTGTGTACATTGAATCTGGCGTATGCAGTCAGCGCCTTGCAGTTGTGCGCCTTCTCACAAAAAAAGGGCGAGTACGACACCGTTTCCAACTCAGCATCGCGGCATGGACAGTCGTTGGGGTCAACACCTGCCCAGATGGAATTGGGGCAGAGACAGGTCCCCATTCTTTGTCTCTGCTCGCTTTCTCTACATGCAGAGAATCCCCATACCTCGACACTCCCATTCATCGTGCCGTTTCGAGCCTCGCCGGCACTCTGCATCCAGACAGCCAGCCATCCGCGGCACGGTAAGATGTGCAAGCGAACCAATCCCGAGTTCATCTTTGTATGCTCACTTCTTTCTTCATCAGTCGGGTCCCACGTCCTGGTCTCAGAGTCCCCATCTCTTTCGTACACAGTCGCCACCACGCGATCGATGTCTGTCATGCGGCCTCCCTGCCGGTAGTCGGGCACCCGCAGCCACAACAGACCAGCCAGCAGGTCGCCGTCCGTCGACTTGGCCGTCACTTGAGTGTAGTGGTATAGGAGCCGCTCCCACCCGTCGGTCGTCAGCCAGCCTTGAGCGTCAGCGTCGATGCACAAACGGTCCAGGGCAGCGAGTCCCTTCGACGAAACATCGGATTGGTAGTTATACCCGGCACTTATCTCCGCCGACGTGCCGAGGGAGTCGTCTACGGCCTGGAAAAGAGAACAGAGAAGCACCACTCATCATGCACATTCCGTGCCACCCATCTGCTCTGGGACCGACCTCGGCAGTACAATTGGATCGTCCGAACCAGAACAGTTCCCTCAGTCCATAGAATTTGGCGTTGTCCTCCTCGCTCACTTGCAGCACGGGCAAGATGAAGAGCATGAGCAGCACCCCCACAATCACCTTGCGCGTCGTCATCTCGGAGAGGAACTTGCCCAGCCTGCTGGCCTCCACCCGCTTAAGCGCAGCCTGCTTGGCGTTGAGGGCCGCCCGCGCCTGTTCCTTTAGCTTCTCCTCCTGGTCCTCGTCGCTCGCCTTGGTGCAGTACTTGTACAGCTTGACAATGCGAATCAGCCGGATCAGTCGCACGAGACGGACAATGCGCCCCGCCCTCGCCCCTGCTCGCGATGCCTTACCCGCCCTGGCGGCCTCGCCGGCCCCGCCGTCGGTGGATATGCCCAGAACCTCCTTTATGGGGTCGACAACCCATGGAATGTCGGGGACGAGGGAGAGGGTGGCAATGATATCGAGCCAGAAGAAGAAGCTCCACTTGTAGTTCTCCTTTGTAATGGAGTTGATGATGAGCTCAAATGCAAAAAGCAGCAGCGAGATGAGGAACAAGGCGTAGAAGTAGGGGTCCGAGGGCTTGTAGAAGCCCGCCAGCCGCACGTCGTCACCGAAGAGGGCGAATATGGTCACGAATGTCATCAAGATGGTCATGAACCGCCCGTCGATGAATGCCTCAAGGCTGGCGGCGATCTCATCGGTGCCCTCCTTGTTGGTCGTCTCCTGCTCGTCAACACCGCCCTGCGCAGCCATGATGGAACCCTGTCACTTCAAGGCCCTAGACAGAGCCTGACGCGCTCTGGAGACAACCGAACCAAGTGGAGACGACCTGGGACAAGCGGAGAGGCAGCGTAGTGTATCTTTTAGTTGAAACTGTTCTGTTTCGAGAGGCGATCGGCGAGACGGGGGTAGACGGGGGCCAAGCTAGTTTTTGGGGCCAGCCCGATTTCTCGCCGCGCGAGTCTCTTTCTTTTCCTTCAGCTTTTTCTTTCTTTTCGCTTCCCGTCGTGGCGTCTGCAGTGAAAATATCATGACGCCCTCTCCCTTCAGCTGAGTGGACTCAGCTACCTTCCCAGCTGATGCCGTGCTGTCGCACATACCGTGTGCCGTGTCCAGTGCTGTTGCCGCCGTTGGTTTCCGTCCAGGTGCCATCACTCCTTCTCGCCAATGCTCGCCTGTGCGAGCGTGCAGGTTCCCCGCCCTCGTCTCTGCACCGCAATGGACAAGTTCCAACCCTGCCCATGCGACGCCCTCAACGGCCAGGCATCGCTTGAAAATGCAGGTCTCGGAGTTGGACGACAATGGGCAGATGATGTGGCCAACTCCGAGAATGCAGCAGTGGTGCACCAGCAAGTGTCCTTACACATCTACTGAGCCATGGACCTCGCATTCATATTTGCAGGTTTTGGAACGTTCTGAAGTTGAACGATTGCAGCAGGAGCGCAAGGCCCTCAACGAGGTAGGTCTGCTCATGTCGTCAACGCATCGGAGGTGTATTGGTGTTGTCCTTTGTTGCTGTTCCTTTGCAGCGAGTTTCCTCAATGTCTCCCGCCCTTACCAGAACAAGGGTGCTGTACGGCCATCTGCCAATACATGAGCACGTGGGGTGAGCTCTCTACATTGACGTGCATCTCATTGACGCACCGGCCATCTGTGGCCGTTTATCTTTCAGGACATAGCAACAACAATATTCTCCAACATACTGTCTTGCCTGATTGCCTGGCAAGACAGTCACGGTACAAGACACAGTCTTTTTGTCACTTGCAGCGTAACTTTTTGCTTCTCACGTCTTTCTACATGCGTTCGCAGGTCCATCACCTGCTCAAAGACTGCAATACCGAGGAGGGGTGGCGGATTCTAGTTATATTGCCAACAGTCGTTGCCACCGACGAGGCCGCCAAGTATTAGCGATCCATTCATCCTTAGACGAGATCCAGGTTCCATGGTTGATGTCTGTCGTGCAGGAAAATAAATAGGCCGAGGCGTGGGTGCCTGGGGGAGGAGGTGGGGATCGTGACCGGAGAGGGGCGGCTTTGTGACAGAAAAAAGTTTGGCAGATGCGAGTCTGACTTTATTTTTTCCACAGCGGGTAAGACGATTCTGCCTCACACGCGATCGCAGTGCTGCATCTCAGACTGCCGTATCTCCTGCATCTTCAGGATCTGCCCTCACTATCCTGTCATCAAGTCCGAAAACGAAGTGGATTTGTCTGCTAGATGAAGCTCATGTGACGGACATGGACACTGAGGCATGTATGGTAAGATGGCGTCTCTCTTTCAAGCTCTCTAGTCAAGTCTCTTTGCTTTAATTCAGACAAAACTAAAACAAATGTATGACGACGCCCAGTGTCCGTGTCGGGTTGTGTTGATATCCGCAACGCTCGCCAAGGGTACAAAACAAATGAGTCGCTCTCTTTGCCGACACCATTGCTAACATATGTGATGCAGACAAACTCATAAAATACTTCTGCGGCACACACCTAGAGGTACCTTAGCCGATCTCTGCAGATCACACGCACAACTGCATAATGCACGTCTTTCGCTGGCTGCTTTCGGCTGCAGCGTTGCGGACTGAAGGAATTTCATGGACGGTCTGCCAGGATCGACACCCGGTATCTGACCGACGAGCTTCTCGACGAGCTCCTGCCCGACGTAAGCACAACAACAGCTGAAACACAACGTTGACACGACAGATGATATGTCATAAGTGAGGCATTGTCCTGTGAATGCATTTCGTTCAGTTGGGGTTGAGTATGGACAAATTCACCTTCAACATCAACAACCCCACCCTAGTCGCGGCGGAGCTCCCGAATCAAATCAAGGTGTCGATCCACGAGGTTGCAGCTCTCTTATGTGGTGAGTCAATCGCGCTCAAAAAAACAAGGGAGCTATACGACGAAATGCCAATACATGTAGCGCTCTCTACAGTGCTTTTTGATGGCACAATTTCCTCATTATTCTGTTTCACACAGGAGATCGTCGAGAAGGTGTTCACGAACAAACTGACAACGATCGAAGCCCCAACGGGGAGTGGAAAAGCATTGACGGTCGGATGTACTCTACAAGTGCAGGAAATAAAAGACGCTGGACCACTCTTCACGGAGCCACGGGAGGGAGCTGGGTTAACTTATTTGAGGAATGTAAGCTATTGACACACTGTGAGACGAAACAATTAGCGAGAGCCCTTGTTGCCTATTTCAGGTTATGCATGGACTTCCATGTTTGCCAGAAGGGGCCGTCCTTGTATTCTATGGACAAAGTCACCAGCACTGGCACTACCGAGACATCATTGACAAAGCTCTGTCAGCACATCTATTATGTGTGCTCTTCAGGAGCTTTATTTGGTGCATGTATGGAGGCCCTTCTGGCTGCGTCTATTGCAGAGACGCCAAGAATTATCATACTATCCGATGGGTGAGGAAAAATAGCGGAGCTGCCGGTGATGGTATGACGTGAGGCTTGCTTGCTGTGATTGCTGTGCCAGAGCTTTCAAGTCCCCAAGCACATATGCTCGCCACTGGAGGCCAAGGGGCTTTTCATGTTTCGTAAGCCGAGGGCAAGCTACATTGAATGTGTGCATCTCCGTCCTGTTTCTGCGTCTGTGTGGTTTATAGATGTGTGATGTGACACGAGAGGTATTTGCATTTAGGGCTTTATTGCAACACTACAACAAGGATGACCTTTCCTTCATTCTGGTAGACTACACTTTGACCACATTCGAAGGCTGCTCCTCTGTCTATATCTCTGTGTCACGCGCAGACGTCAGCAGCTGGGGGTGGTCTGTCAAGGAAGTGCACGCCAATGGGGCTCGACTATTTGTCTGTGAGGGCGGCTGCGCGGGTAAGCGAGTCAATGCATAGCAGTTTCGGCTTTCCCTCATTGTTCTTTGTTGCCAGGTGTACACTCGGCTCCTGAAGCGCCTTCCTCGTCTCAGACTGCTCCATGCAGGGTGAGACACACAATGACACGATAAGCTTGAAGCAGAGAAGTGAGCCTTGTGTATGTCTATAGCAAGAAGCCGAGTAGCTGTCTGAATAGCATAGGGGGCCTGAAGCAGTGGAAGGCGACTCTAGCCGCAGGTGAGAGCATAAACAATTGGCTAGAGTCGCCTTCTAGTAACTGTCGTTTCACTCTTATTTCGCAGCATATGGGCAGGCCCCAATAATGCAGTCGCTCCTGGAGGGAGCATGGGAGTGCCCTGTTGGCGAAGGTGTGTATTGACGATGGATACACGCACTCATGCACACGTGTCTCTTGGTGTCTCGTCTCATTCAGGACTACCCATTCTGATAGACGACAAGCAGTCGGGGCTCTCCCTTCCTACAAGTGGCTCAATAGAGGACAGGATGAGGGCGCCAGTCTGTTTTCTTTCGGCGCGGTGGGCACACACACAGGCCAAGCGCACTTACATGACCCGACAAACAAGGGCTGACGTGTTTTGCTGTACTCAGCCGGAAGATAACGAGAGAGGGAGATTTTATGCATGATCGACTGACAAGAATAACAACCGCTGAGTAAGTCAAAAAACACCGCGCTGTTCTGTTTGCAAGCAACAAGACGGCTTGTCTTTCAGGGAATGGGGGATGTTTGAGTATTTCACCACAGTCGGTTGCCGCCACGGCCAGTGGCTAATCTAAGAGCCGGTCACGCTCGACGCCAAAAAACGGCGAGGCCTGCTCATTCTATGCCCGGACGACCAATGGCTGGTGGGCCCCTGGTTTGTGGAACGGTACTCGGCTGTGGTGGGGATCCACACCGACCGGGATGCGACAGACATCATCTTCAAGACAAAGATCGACGCCGCTCGCATCTGCCGCATCCAGGCCATGCGCCATACACTTGGGAAAATCGTAAGTCATTGACAGACCGACAACCTCTGGCTGGCTCCATTTCACCCCCTACTTCTTGTCTCGCCACAGATGAATTCAAATCCATTCTCTCCCCAAGCCCGTGTGCTGCAGGCTTCCCTGGAGCGGTGAGCGTGTGGAAGAAAAGAAGTTGTTGCTTCCCTTGGGTAAAGACCTCGTTTGTGTGTGTGTGGCTATGTCTGTGGAATGGACTACTCTTTTATCAGCGCAGACGAGAGCAAATGAAATAAAACAACACTGGCCCAACGGGACTTCATAGATGACACGCTGGAGAAGCTGGAAAAAGACACTGGCAGGCCTCCCCACGGAGGCCACCATGTGACATCCATCTTCCTGCCCTTAAGGAGGCTGCCAGGGTGAGTACAACGCAGAGTCTACTAGCGTGTGATCGGCCCCGCACCTGTCTGTTGCAGATCTACCGACAGCTCCTGCAGCGATGCGTGCATCTCAAACTCATCCACCAAGGGTGAGACACGTAAGCATTGAATCTCGGGAGGTCATATGATGTGTGTGTGTGTGTGTGCGTGTGTGTGTATGTGTCTCAGTGCCACACCGCAGAGCTGCCTGGCAGCCCCAGAAGGTCCCGTCCCAAGGCTATGGAAGGCTACACTTGCCGCCGGTGAGACCACACATCCTGCAACTTATGCACATCATGATTGCATGCCTCACGGCGGTGTCTTGTCGCCTGCAGCTTACAGACGGGCCTTCATCGAGGAGTCGCTGCTAGAGGGGACGTGGAACTGCTCGATTGGCGAAGGTACGGCAGTCGACTGATACAAATATGTATCTCTCGTGCTTCTAGCTGCAGGGCTGCCCGTCAGAATACACAAGCAATCGAGTGCTTCCCTTCTAGCCAGCGGCTTCATGGAAACCAGAATGAAGGAGCCTGCAGTGTTTTTGTCTGCGCGGTAAGCATAACGAGTCAGCGAAGGCAATCCTTAAAGCCCACAGCCCATTTGCATGCCGCGTCGCACAATCAAGAGTGAACCAATCTGTTGGCTGTGTTTCAGACGACCATCAGCAGGGAAGGGTTTACCCATGACCGCTGAGTAAGCCACTTCAATCGATTGCAATGCCTTCTCAAGCAATAAGACCTTCCCTTTCATTGTCAGTGACTGGGGGCTACTTGAAGACCTCACAACTGCCTTGTGTCGCGAGGGGGGGTGGCTCATCAATCGAGCTGTCACTGATGATGCCAAGACAGCTCGAGGGCTGCCCCTGAACTCGCCGCACTCGCTGTTGCTGGGGTCTTCCATCAGGGGGCGGGAGACATGATATTCAAGGCAGAGTTTGACGACCAGCGCGCCTCCCGCCTCCTTGCCATGAGGCAAAAAATATCAGAAATTGTAAGTGGTGAACAGACAACTACTCTCACCTGCTACACCTCATGTGTTGACGTTGATTTCATTCAGATGAAAGTATGCCCATTTGCGCCGACAACCCCTGTCGTGAATGCTCCTCTGCGAGGGTAGGCACAGACAAATGTCTTCTTAATCCCTTACTTACTCTGCGTATGCCAGCAGCTTTGTTTGTGCCGCCTCCTACAAGTTTCAGAAATTGAAGGAAATGCACTCATTAGTGCAAACCGAAGACCATCGGGAGGCGGCACAGACAACATTTGAAGCCTTAAAGGGGGAGCTGGAGAAAATGAAACAGAATAGGATGGGGAGACAGCTATCACAGCGGCAGACAAGGGATGAAGCTTTCTTGAAGGCACATTTGAGGGATTCCGTGGAGTCAGCGACATTCTTCGGCTATTCAAATTGGAGCGACAGCCAGGTCGACGGCTGCTTCGAAGAATTACCGTGAGTGAAGACAAATGACTGTAACGAATAGATGTCTATGGCTTTGTCATGGCTGTTTTACAGGATGCCGCCCCGAATGTGTTCAGGAACAGCAGCGAAGGCGGGAGCTGTTTTTTCATCATCGCTGCCTACATCTTATATTCGTCCGTTTCATCTTTTCTCGTTGCCATGTCTCTGTGAGGCTTGCGCGCGCCTCTTACACATCGCTGCCTACATCTTTATATCTTGTGGTGTTGCTTTTCGATGACGGATTCGATGGTGACACAAACTTATGGACAACTTCATGCGATTCACTACCATATGTGTCTATGCGTACACAAGTGAGACAGAAAGTCATTTTGCTCGGAGAGCGATATCTACATGTGCAAACTGATCTTCCCGTCCTCCCCATATATATCCCACCCCGTCAGTCAGTAAGTCAGTCTTCCTCCAAGAGCCTCTGCATCCTCTCCCTCAGACTCATGCCCTCCCTCCCATCACCATCAGACCCGCCCTTCCCCCTTGCCCCATCAGTATCAGGCGTGTCGTCATCGGCGGCTATGGCGCCCGCAGCCTCCAGCCAGACACGCAGCTCCTCATCTTCAATGTGCACTGTCGTCGTGTCGTCGCTGCTGTCGACATCACGCGAGTCGCTCGTGGCTTCCTCTTGGGCCTTGCGCTGAGAACAAACACCAACTGCATCATTGATGGCTGGAATGATCCGTGTTCGTCCGTTTCTTGCGGACCGTTTGCCGCTTCTTGTTTGCATTTCTCTTCTTAATCTTGGCCTGCACAAACACACACACACACACACACAGACGGACAGGCAGACAGGTATACTACAGGCCAAGACGAGGTCGCTCATTGTGCCGCGTACGATCTTCCGTCCCAGCTTGCTCTCCCTCCCATTGATCAGCCAATCGAGCTTCTCCTGCAGACACACAGAACACACACCCGACCAACCGTGAACAGTGTGCGCTTCCCACGATGCTACCCGCTCACCTTGAGCCTTGCTCTCGCTATCTTCCTGTTCCACTGCAGCGACTGAGTGTCATGAACCTACCATGAACAACAACAACAACAGCAACAACAACAACAACAAGAACAACAACAAGAGCAGACACCGCTCATGCATGCGTTCTTCCTGCCGCTGCTTTCCTTTCCACACACCCGCACAATCACGCCGCTAGGCACATGTGTCAGAAGCACGGCATTGCCCGCCATATTCACCGATTGTCCACCAGGACCACCACCTCGCATGAAGGACTCCCTCAGATCTCTCTCATCCATCACAACAGGGATGGCCTCCTCGCCGGGCGCTCTGCGTGGCAGGCCAGGGATCACATCCTTGTCGCCGGGCCGTGACGAGCTGGTGTGATGGCGCGTGTGGAGCAGGGGCATCTGCTGATGAATGGCTGTTGTTGCACGCATGCCTTGCGCGAGAGGAAGAATGGGTGCTTCGCTGCTCCTCCTGCTTGTCAGCGTTCCGTGCTGAGCAAAAGACCGCCTGTACGAAGCCGCTTCGGCAGCTGAGATGCTCAGGCGGCGCATTCGATGGATCTGACAGATCTCCGTGGTGGATGAATAGACGAGAGTCACCAGGGGGGCAAAAAGATGTGAGGGGACCTTCAGCTCGCATGATGCCGATCGCGGGGAGAAATCAGCCGAATGACATTCGACAGCATCGCAGCGCACAAGAGGGTATGACAACAGATAGAATGCATCAGCAAATTCATTGGATCATCCATCGCGTTTGCTGCAGTCGGGAAAATCGGGAAACCGGCTGGATAATGCCATTGAAACTGCGCCATTGAAGGACCCCTGACCTGGCGGAGCCGCCAGGTATGCATTGGTTCCGCTTTCATCGGTGATTGTGATGCCTTTGTGCCCTGCCGACGCACAGATCACCGTACCACCATTGAGGCATGGCTGCAGATGTACAGGAGGCAGCCATGTCAATGGCCGACATGAAGCAACGTCATGCCAAGGTAAGGATCCGCCGCCGTTCAGCTCATTGTGCTCTCAGCCTTTGTTTGCGTCGTGTGTCAGATAGCAGGTCTGATGACCCGCCTGTCGGAGTTGGAGCCCTCGGCTCTGTCCTCACATGTATGCAGGCAACGAAACACCCGTCCACATCTTACAAATGCATGCATGTCGTCCGTGGAAGGATTGATTCCTGCAGAGTTGCTGGCGTTGCATGAAGGTAGCGCTGGAGCAGTTCACCAGCCTAGAGGCCACGCTGACCACCCTCGTAGAGTCGGCCACCCACCCCCAGCCGCAGTCTGCTGACACACAGGTACTCACATATTTGATGTCTGTAACGGAACTCGCATCTTTCGTGGATATGTTCTGCAGCTCGCCACCTTCCCTCGGGCCCGCCTGTCGGAGATCGGTGGTCCTGAGCAGTCTCTCTGTCGGCGGCTGACGGACGCCATCGACCGCGCTGGGCTCAAGGGCGTGATCCGATTTGCCCCACAGCTGAGCGACACCCATATGGTGACAGCACTGTGGCTGATGGAGGAGGGCGGCAGGTGGAGCGAGGTGGCCAATGGGCTGAGATATGCGCGACAGCTGGGCTGTTGCCGGCTACCCGTCACTGTCGATGCTGTAGACCTGCGGAAGCACGCGACCAAGGCGGTGAGAGGCACACGAGACAACGCCACCTCACATGATGGAGTGTCTACATCAATGTGTGCACCTGTCTGTCATGCACGCAGGACTATCTGTCCATGCCTAGAGTGCTGGCTCAGTGGATGGTGGTGGGTCGGCACGTCGTCTTTCGCCGCGCCGATGGCCGGCAGGACGGCAGCTTCGAGCTGTTCCGGCACGGCAACCAGATCCGCGCCGTCCGAGACAAGCCGGGATTCGCCATCAGCTGCAGTCCTAGGTTTCCCAGGTTTGAGGTGCATCCCTTGTCCCCGCACCCCTTCCAGCAGCACATGAAGCACGACGATCCCCCGATACATTATGCCCTCTTTTTTCGCCACGACACCGGGTGGGCGACGGATGGCGGGGAGTGGCTTGAGGCCTCGACTAGCAGCTGGATCATGGCCACAATCGGCAGTGCTCTTGACAGTAACACGCGGGTCCGCGGGCGCCATGGCGTCAGGCTCACTCGGTATGTACGGCAGACAGTCAGCAAGTGGCAGGCTTGTTCCCTCCGTGTCTCTGTCACTGCGTGCCTCTGTATGTGTCAGGGTAAGTGGAGGTATTTTGGACGGTTTGTTCACCCACCGATCGCCTCACGTGCCGCTGGACGGGTGCGTGGCGGTCTCGACTATGGAGGAGTACCATGGAGGCAACGCGCAGGAACACCACCTGCTGACGGCGTTTGACGACCCCTTCATTGCAGAGCTGAGCTTCTCGCCTTGGGGAGGCAAGGAGTCTGAGAGGGGTGAGAAAAACAGGCATGATAGACACGGACAGGACACTCAGATGACTATCTATGTATGGCTTGCAGTACGCTGTGTGGTGGTGACGACGGAGCCACCAGTGGGCGGTGAGAACGGGCCCTTTGAAGAGCGGTATCCGCGCACAGCAGCCTTGGTGAGGAGGGCACTTGGCCCCCTTGCCGAATCCTTCTTCAATGGGCCTCCTGATTGATGAGAGGAAAGTGGGGGTGAGTGAGTGCGCGCGGGGCCAGCCATTGGCTTGCGTCTGGGTACAATACATGTACACCATATCGATATGTATGTATGTATGACTCGTATATATCCATGTCTTTCTGTACAGTCAATGAATGACTACATGCACCAAATGTGCACCCACCCATGCCCACCCATGCCCGGCCATAGGTCGGTCCGTCCGATAGACACACCAACACATCACTGACATGCATCAGCAAGCAACAATTAGATGGATTGGATGCGATGCGATGCCCACCGGTCACGATGCAAGCACAAACGCGTCAGCCATCCGTCCCAGCATCCGTCTCGGGCTCATCCTTGTCTCTCTCGTCACAAGCCGTCTCCTCCTCCCCCTCCACCTCTCCCTTGCCACCCTCTCCATCGGGCCCATCGGCTACCGCCTCTCATCTTCCCTCGCTGCTGCTGCTGCTGCTGCTGAGGATGATGATGAGGATGATGACGGGCACGAGCGGGCAGCGTCCTTTGACTCTAGCTGCTCCAGCTCTTGATACAGCGACGACAACTGGACGGACGACACACACATAACATACACACACAGGCAACCCATAGCATCAGTAAGTTAGACGCACCTTGTCTTTGAGTCTTGCGATAGTGTTGTCGAGTGCGTCGTCCCGCCTCGCCGCGCGCCCACTGCGGCCGGTGTGGGGCACTGACGGGGTGTCGCTGGTAGTGGCACTGGCGGTGCTGGGGGTAGTGGTGGCCTGTTGGTCGTCGGGCTTGGCGGCGGATGGGCCGTCGTCTGCGGTTGAAGGTCTGAGCTGTGACAGGTTGGCTCGCATCGTGTGGTTGATCTGATAGGTGGACGGAAAGACAAGAAGTAGGGCAATACGGTCTTGGTGGGTAAGTGCGGCTAGGTGTGTGGGTTTACTGACCTCTTTGAGGAAGTCGACGTCCTTGCGGAGGCCCTCGACACGCGCCTGATGATCGATCCATCCCCCCATGAATGCTTGTTGATGCAACACATACATACCTGTGCCTCTCGTGTGTGTGCCAACACACCTGTGCGTGCTTGAGTGCTTTCTCCTGCTGGTGTCTGTTGTGGTCGCCCTGACTTATCAGCTGACGCAACGACGCCTGCACACACAGATAAGACGCCCACACATTCACCGTATGTGTGTCTGTGTGGTATAGCTCACTGCTTGGTCCTGGAGTGACTCAGCTTTGGCTTTGAGCGTCTCCAGGTCACACGCATGGGACCGCTCAGCCTCGCGCAGCTGAACCACACACACACATACACACACACACACACACACACACAGGATGCGGTGCTCGCTGCATGCGCCATGTCTGCCTGTGTGTGTGGGGGGGATGCCTGCATACCTTTTCTTCGAAGAAGTGTCGTTGGTAATCGAGTTGTGAGACGAGGACCACATCAAGCTCCATGCCCAGATGATCCGTCGCACACTATGTGACACACACAACAGATACGGACGTGGGTGACCTCGGCCGGCATCCACGCATCGACTCACCTCTGAGGCCTTTTTGGCTTCTTCAGGGTCTCCCAGGTCCCCGTCCTTTTCATCCTCATCGCCACCACGCACCTCTCCATCTGACACACATAGATACATACCACATATGGTAAGGGGGGATCGCGTGTTGTCTGTCCCTGCCCCTGTCCGCTCACCAGCAGCAGCAGTTGGGTCGGCCGGGTGCGGCAGGGCCACCTCGAAGAAACGACCTGCCGCCACGGCCTGAACCTGTGCACAGTGTTCCCGTGTTCCCACGCCACGGAGAGAGGCGATGCGATGTCTAGAAGACCATGCTACAGTATTGCTGTGCGTGGCTCACCAGTCGCCTGTGGACAAAGACATCCTGGTCGTAGTCCCAAATGCGGCCGGATGAGAGTTGCAGGCAGAATCGGTGGCCAGTGGTGGCCGCGTGCTCCTTGGCGTGGCCGCCAGCATACCTGAAAACACATACATGACACATACATGACACACACACGCATTTATTCAGACACATGTCCAACGGCCGCAGGAAAGGATCGCTGCTCGACACAGTGCAATGTGACCTTCCTACCTGCCGCATCCAAAGTGCCCGCAGACGAGACATATCCACAGCTGAACGTGGACACACACACACACAGCCACACCACACTCATCCATGTGGGTATGTATGTACCCCCAATCTACCTACTTACCTGGTTGTGTGCGCCGCATTCCCTGCAGCTGTCGATGCTCATGTCACTGATGCCGCCGCAGCCCGTCGATGCCCTCGACCGAGTTGTGGCATCGATCTCCCATAGCGCGCCGCTGCTCGCGGTGGAAGTGGTAGGTGGCCGCAATGGCAGGGACTGCTGGGGCGAGCTCTGACAGAGTGACGGGGAGACAGGGAGGCACGTATGGTGTGGTTGTGTGTTCGGTGTCTGAGGGTACCTTGATGAGTTGTGCGAGTCCCTGTGTGGAGCTGGCGGTGGTCTTGCGGCGCTTGTTGGTCCCATGAAGGGACAACGGGAACCTGAAAATGAAGATCAACATCCATCAACCTCTGGTGGATGCGGGCTGGGATGGATGCCTTGTGCACTGACTGACTGACTTGACGACACATCTGCAGGCGTTGCACGACCGCAGAGGGAGACACCCCGCAGACAGCCAACCGGAAGACTGCGTCAAGATACCTGCAAACGAGCCACAAAGCACCCATATACATAGCTATTAATCCATCTCATCTCATCTATGCTGGCAGGTTTGCCTGCCATGCCTACCTACCCGTGACGGAGACGTCAAGCCGTTCGAGGCACACGGGGCACGAGGGGATCTCCGAACATAGAGATGGTGACAACGGGGGGGACGGGGGCTGTTTGAGTTGACACACACAACACATGACAGACAGACAGACGTCACATCTGGCACGGACCCATATATCCATTCCCGCTGACCTCAATGTGTTTATTGTGCCCATCAGCAGCGTGCCAGTATGTGACGGATGCGACGAAGACGAGGTAGCAGCAGGGCAGGCCTGCCGTGGTCTGCTGGCTGTCGGGGGCCTCCCGCCGGCCTATCACCGACTGGGCCGTGAAGCTGGGGAACGACTTGCCGTGAAACGCCTGATAGAAGTTGTCGGCATGTTGCTGAGAGTCAAGGATCACCAGAGCCGAGTAGAAACTGCCAACAGACAATACACACCACACACAAGAAGGAAGAACTAGGCGACAGACAGACAAAATAATCTTCCTTCGCAGCTCAGCTCCTCCCACTCCTCACTCAGGGGTCGGTGACGGCACATCCACTTCGCCGTCCCACTCGCTCTCCGCGCCCTGCCGCACCCCACCAGCAGGCGACCTCTCATCGCCGCCGTCGCCATTGTCGATGGTCGTGATAGCATCCTCAGGCAGGCTGGGCAGCGGCTGGTACGGCCCCTCCGTCTGCACCCCTATCGACACGCACGCCGCCGGCCGGTGTGCAGGTGAGGCGGAGTTGTCGGGGGGCTGGTGGATGGGGGGGCTGGCTGATCGGCTGGAGGGCCACGAGGGCCGCCTGAAGACCCGCAGGATGCTGATGGACGCGCGCGACTCGCCGAAGAAGGCGAGCAGGTCGGGCAGCGAAAAGGTGGAGGGGGCCGCCACAAGGAACAACTGCACAAACATATGCAAACCAGCCACGAAAGCATCCATCCATCCATCCATCCATCCATCCATCTCCTATCGCACTGACTCACTGACCATGTGGCTCCTTTGCAGCGGCAGCACACGGAATCCGTGTGACCGGCCGCCGTGCCGAGCCGGCAGAGTCACGCCTGTCTTCTCCCTGACACAGAGATACGGACGGACACAGCCAACAGCACACAAGTGGTTGCACACAAGTGGCGGTAGGTGGAACCATCATGGCAGAGAATGCATGCATGGCTTACTGGAAGAGATGGCACTCGCCGGTAAGCTCCTGCACGCCACCCCTGGGAGCAGGCTCTCTGACAGTGGGACACAGCAACAAGACAGATCAACACACCACACCCAATGCGCAGAATGTGCAGACAGACGATCAGTCACTCCTTCCTTGCTTCCTTCACGAGCAGCACCAGATCTCACCTTCTTCCCCCTGCATCTGTCCTCGGCTGTGTCATAGTTCCATCATATTGATTCGCTGCATCTTCCTCCGGCGAGCACAGCCTGGCATTGTCATCTATGTCGTTGCCGTCTTGCCCTTGGTTTTCTTCCCGCTCGACAGTCTGCTCGAAGTGGCTGAGGCGGACAGGCCCGTTGCGGAGGAGACCCGCTGAACAAGGCGACAGCTTGGTCACCAAATGAAACATCACAAACACAAGACACTTGCTCCCCCCATTCGCTTCTCTCTTGGCGGTTTCAGGGAGCACCAAACTTGCGAGCTTCGCCAGAGAGCGCCCTTCCTTAGCGTCGGCATGAGTCGATTTAATTCATTGAAGAGGCAGCTCAACCTGTGCACCTCGAGCAGCCAACTGATCTGCCTCATCAAGGCCGCGATGCAGCTCAAGCAGTGCCGCGATGAAGGCGTGATGACGAAGCGCATGTCAGCCGAGTGCTGGGATTTCATCTCGATGAGTGTTTGGAAGTTGGCAAAGCTGCAGGCTGCTTCTCACAATCACAATCATCACAGCAACCGCAACAGCCGAGAGGATGGGCCGGGGGAGGTGGTTGAGGGCATGAAGGAGGAGGTGCTTCATCTGATGAAGGAGGCCATCGTCAGCACATCGGGTGCCGGCGCTGCTCCCCGAGATCTATCCCTTCTCATGTGGGGCTTTGCAAAGCTGCAAGGGGAGCCGAGGGAGGTGCTGCCTGCTGCTGCTGGTGCCGGTGTTTTCATCGACGGTGACGTCTACGGCGTTCTGGCAGAGGCGTCCACCAAGGCGATGAGAGCCTTCAAGGCGCAGGACATCGCCAACACTCTGCAGGCCGTCTCTATTCTACAGCTGCGGGATGAGGCGCTTGTCACGGTGGCGCTGCAGCGGGCGCTCAGCATCATGGACACCTTCACGCCTCAAGGCATCACTACGGTCCTCTCGTCGGCGGCCAAGCTGCAGCTGCCCCCTGCCGCCACCCTGATGAACAGTTTGTTTGATCAGCTCGGCGAGAGGAACAGCCACCTGGTTGCTGAGTGCGACGCCCGCGGCCTGGCCACCCTCTTGCAGGCACTGGCCGCCAGACCCACAGAGCCATGCAGCGACCGGCTGCGGCTGCGGGAGGCGATGCTATCTCGACTGCGGGTGCTGCTTACCGACAAGGGCGGGGATGGTTTATCTTCTGCTGACGGTGCTCTCACTCTCTGGTCCCTCGCCACACTGGGATGGCGGCCCGCCGACGACGTGCTGCAGCGACTCGGTGATTTGTCGGTCAAGTGGTACACCACAACCTCCTCATTGCTATATGGCGGCCCCGCACCCAGCCCACGTGACGCAGCCACGACGATATGGTCCCTGGCGAAGCTCGACTGCCACCACAGGCCAGCCGCACACGCAATTATGTCGTCCTTCGTCCGGCAACCTTACGACTACGGCCCGCAGCCATTCAGCATGCTCGTGTGGGGCGTGGCCAAGCTGGGTTTGCGGAGCCAGGACTTCCAGGCGGCTTTGGCGAATGTGGCCCTCAAGCACGCGTCGGCACAGCAGCTGTCTCTCCACCAGGCCGTGCTGGTCATCTGGAGCGTGGCTGCCCTCGACCACCGCAACTCGGCCCTCAACAAGGAGCTCTTCGCCATCGTGCGCAAAGGGTTCCTCCATCTGACTCCCCAGCAGGTGGCCAACGTGGTGTGGAGCATCGCCCGTCTGAAGGCCAAGGAGGAGCCACTGCTGGCCTCACTCGCCATCGTGCTCAAGAAGAATGCCCCCGCTTTCACGCTTCAGCAGCTGGGCTCCCTTTTCTGGGCACTCGCCACCCTCAAATGGCGCGACGACGCCCTGTTTGCCCTCCTCTGTGCCGAGGCGGCCAAACAGCTCAGGTACACGAAGCCAGCGTCTAGCGGCAGGAGGGCAAAGACGACGTGCCACTGTGCTTGTGTGTGTGCAGGTCAGGCAAGTCAGCTGATGCTCAAGTGATGTCCAACATCCTGGGAGCCTTGGGCGAGCTCGGCATCAGGGATTTCGACCTGCTTGGCGCGGCGGTGGCGAGCATGGGCCGTCAGCCAATGAGGATGACGCCGCCCAACCTCGCCAACACCCTCGTCGCATACGCCCGGCTGCAGCACAGAGACGAGCCCGCCCTCACAGCTCTCAGCGATGCGGTGCTGCTGCACGGGAATCGTGGGTCAGGATCTCGCCTGTCAGCACAGCAGCCGAGAGGCGGGATGTACGGCAGCCCCTATGGCCTCCTCTCTGACAACAGTTCGCCAGATAGCCGCCGTGATGCACCATCGACTCAAGAGGAGAAGCCCACCACCCCCACCAGCACGACCACCACGAGGCTGCCTCCCAGCTTCTCGGGTCAGCATCTGGCGAGCATTCTCTATTCGTTCGGCAATCTGCGATATCGGCACGAAGGCGTTCTGAGCGCACTGGCTGACACGATCCTCGACAGGATCGATGCCAATCCGTCTCTGGGGTACGGTGGGGCAGACGACGAGTGGCTCTACCTCGCTCTATGGGGGTTCGCAATGTGCTCTTACTGGGACCATTCTGTGATCCCGGCGTTGTTCAAGGCAGTGGCACGGCACTCGACAAGACTGCGCGACAAGGGGCTTCTGGACGACAGCGGCAACACACACTCGCGCATCCTGAACCAGGCCTACCAGGCCCTCCTCGCCCAGCACCGGCTCGGCGGCCGGCCGCCCATCGACCTCCCGAGAGACCTCATCAACTTGTGGAAGCGGAAGTTTGTGGAGCAGCGGATTGTCGTCAGTTCGTTCCACCACTCGTTCATCACACGGCTGCGCGGCCTGGTGACCGCCGGACAGCATGAGGGGGCCGGGTGGACAGTGCAGGTGGAGCACAGGACGGAGGACGGCCTCAGTGTCGACGCAGTACTCATCGGCCCACAGCACAGGGGCATTGCCATCGAGTGCAATGGGCCGTCTCACTATCTGACGTTCCACGCCAGCCACGCGGCTCAGGACGACTGTGTGGAGCTTGAGCACCTGACCTTCTGTGCGGCATCTGATGAGGAGTTCCCCCACGCACACAGGGGGGCAGACACAGGGGCAGACGGCAAGAAAGGCCGAGTGCGGGTGGCTGTGGGCGAGTTGGCCCGCTATGACGCTGCCGGGAGCTTCCACCACAAGATCATGAGGCACGATGATGCCACTGGGGGCGGTGTGACGTGCGCCACACCTTGTTTATTGAACGGCAGCAGTGCGTGGAAGAGGTCTGTGCTGCGTGCGGGTGGGTGGGATGTGGTGGCTGTGCCGTCGTTCGTGAGTGAGGAGGAGAGTGTGCGGATGATAGAAAGGGCCATGAGGGGCCACCACACCAGATGAATCAATCGTACTGTGCGCTAGCTGTGTCTACTCCGTTGACCTGACAAACAAACCCGTCCATCCATCGATGGCATCGATGGACGGGCTGGTAACAGGGTACATAGAGTCAGTCCTTCGCAACGCAACGCAACGCTACGCAGTGCAACAAAGGCAACCAACGGTCTGTGCGCAATCCACACAGACAGACAGACAGACAGGAGAAAACGGACGAGAGACTCCATAGCTTAGCTTAGCTTGCGTACGTATAGCAGTGACATACATATCGCTAAAAAAGGTTGTGTATTCTATGGCAGACAGGCAGCGAGGCAGCCAGGCAGGCAGACAGGCAGCCGAAGAGGGGGTGCTCTGCTCTCCTCTGCTCTACACTCTGGGTGTGCGTACGTAACAACTACCTTGTTCCAAGGCCGGCTGGCCAGCCGGCCAGCCGCTCACTCACTCACTCAGTCACTCAGTGCCTCGCTCACAAACCGGAATACAGAAGAAAGTGGCAGCCATATATATGGATCCATCCATCCATCCATAAAGGGGGGACGGGACACACTACACCCCAAGTCAGCCGTCGTATGTATGTATTTGCTGTCAGTGCGCTCGCATTGAAATTCTCACTCATGCACGTTCTCTTGCAATGCTTGCTTGAACAAAACACACCCACCCCGAGACACACACATAGACACCCCGAAGACACACACACACACACACACATCCATGGGCTCGGCCCACATGTGTTGGTTGACACACATGCAGGCACGTACATAACACAGATGAATGAAGATAAAATCAAATCAAATCAAATCCCTTCATCGATCGATCCTCATCGATCCGTCCTTCCCCAGTACCCACTCACTCAAGTGTGGGTGATGTGCGCATGGGGAAGGAGGGAGGAGGGCAACATCATGGATGGCATGGCATGCGGCACTCACTCACTGCGTATTGTGCACACATGAACCCACAAATGACTTCAGGTCCGTGTGGGCGCTCCGCTCAAACAAACGGCGCCGCGCCATCATTCATCCGTTTAAAGCACTGCTCGCTCGCGCGGGGGGGGGAGACAACGAAGGGTTTTCATTTTCATGCTCACACATTACGCAACAAAGGAACAGTCAGACAGACACCCATCCACTTCATGCACTCTCTCTCCCTCCCTCGTGACAGACAGACAGACAGACAGACTAAAGCCGACAGGCGGGTTGAAAGGGAGACCATGGGAATGTACGGATCTCTCTTGGGGTATGTACGGCCTTCCATCCGCGCCAGCCACGAATGGCGGGCGGCAAAAAACTCGACATGGCATGACTGACATACACACATGCACTTCCACACTTTCATGAAGGCATGTATGTATGTTTGCAGGGATGTATGTATGTACCATTTCCGTACGCGTGCATAAGTGATGCATGCGCTCGTGACTCGCAAGCAACCACACGGGTGCGGTGCGCAAAACAGGCGCGCAGCAGACCAGACTCCATGTGCGGGGGTCTGTCTGTCTGTCTGTCAACCTGTCTGTCTGTCTGTGCGTATGTATGTGCTGTGCGTACGCGGGAGACTTCGATCCCTTGGGAGTCGAACAAAACCCTGTTCGACGATCAGCGAGACAGGAAGGAATACTCAGTCAGTCAGTCACGATTTCCTCAGCACTACCCGCCCCCCCACCCACCCATATACACCTTTCTCCGTCCAGCTCTCCTCTCTCTCTCTCGCTCTCCCTCCCTCCCTCTCTCCCTCTCGACCATACGGACGTACAAACATGGTAGCAAATTCCCCACGAGCGGAGCGGAGCACACCTTCCTCTCCCGCACTCAACCAACCAACAAAACAAGACCCACCCACATGCTCCCCCGCGCAGCAAATGCATACATGCATTTACGTTTCCGACTGTCAATCCCCATCCATCCATCCAGCCAGCCATCCATTCTCCATCATGAGTTCTTGCTCTCCTTCACTCATGAGTCCTCTGCTCTGTTGGCCAGGTTCCTCGCCTGCCTGTGAGCGGTGACGAAGGGAACGGGGCCGTTCGTGCTCCTCCGCGGGGCCGTTTGCGGCGGCCTCGGCACGCAGCCACACCCACACACGGGCTGTGCTGCCGGTGTGTGTGGGGGCGGGCGGGAGGGTGGGAGGGGACAGGGCGGAAGGTGCATGGTCGTGCTACGTCTGCTGCCTGGCTGGGGGCGGGGTGGCGGTGTCAAGGCCAAAGACGCGCCAGAGGGAGGCGACAGTGGATATTCCGCCGGGGGAGGGCTGGCCAGGCCCGCATGGTGGTGGTGTGCCTCGGTAAGAGGCGACTCAGGACCGATACCTGGATGTATACGAGAAACACAGACAGACAGACAGACAGGGATGCATCGATGAACGCACTGACTGCATCAGGTGAGTGACTGCCTGCCTGACGTACCGGCGGACTCGTCAGCCGGTCCAGTGCCAGTCCCCTTGGCCCCTCCCAGCTCAGCGGCGCGTCGCTTCTTGTCCCTCCGCTGCTTCCTGCTCTTGGGTTTCTTGCCGCGCGGCAGACACAGGTGGCAGTGGTCGCACAACTTGCCCTTCCAACAACCACGCTTCGTACCAAACCAATAACACCTGACGTATGGATGGATGGATGGATGGATGGATGGATGCCGAGTCTCTGCCAGTGGTGTGTGCTGAATCGTGTGTCGTGTCGTCGGCGTACCGTTTGTTAGGGCAGGATGGTGTGTCTCTGTGCGACATGCTGCCGATGTTCAGAACGGTCCCGCGCAGACGTCCCTCATACTGTGAGGCGGGGCAGCTGCGCGCCCGTCGCACTGCCGTCCCCTCGCCGGCCTCATCCAGCCCCTCCCTCGCAGCGTCCGCGCTGACACTCAGCCCGCCCGGCCCACCATTGTCCTGATACATTGGCGCACTCGCCGCTCTGAATGGCATCCCGCCGCGAGCATAATCACGACGACCGCCTCCCTGCTGCTGTTGCTGCTCAGCCTGCTGTAGTTCGTGTGGTCCTTCATCGATGTGTGGGATCAAAGGCGGCTTGGTTGGGAAGTGGATGAATGTGTGCTTGGTGGGGAACTCGGTGAACCGATGGCCGGGCGGGGAGAGGTGCAGCGGAGGTGTGGGGCCGGGTTCCTCATCCGGCTCATCTCCCCAAGAGGAGGGCGGCGAGGTGGCCTCACTCGCCGGGAGCGGCGTGATCGCCACCTCAAATGCGGCAGCGGTTGTGCGTGTTGGACACGGCATGCTGGCCCGACGCAGTGCCATCTGCCGCACAACAAGGGTGGTGCTGCGGCTGCGAACACACAACATACGCCAGATCAGATAATCACATCAGTGAGGCCATGTGCGGCATATCTTACCTGTGAGGCGATGTGTGCCGTTGAAGGCATCTTGAGAGCCCTCGACAACGAGGGAAAGGAGCCCTGCCTCTTCTCCCAAAAAACAGCTAACTTAAAGCTTGCAGCTGCGGTCCTTCGCAGCGCGCAATCTCCCCCGACGCATCCTGGCAAAGATCTGACGATGATGCATCACCGCGCTGCTGCCCTGCAACGGTCCGTAGCACTTCCTGCCGCCGCCCATCCATTGCACCTCAACCGTAGATGGCACCACCCAGATCTCTCCAAGGTGGGCAGACCAGGCAGGCACACACGCTGGCTACGCATTGTTTCTTTGTCTGAGTGAGCAGTTGCGGGGTTGGAAAGCGGTCGAGAAGGAGGCAGAGGTCGGCCACGCGGCGTGGCAGAGGGAGCAGGAGCATGCCCTGAAGATGGGGCTGCCCGGCGCCTCATCCCTCACGGACAAGACCATCCCCACCTTCTCGAGAGGGGAGCTGCCTCACTTCGCGGGCATTCTGACCTTCATGAAGGCGCCTTATGTGGAGGACGTCCGTGAGGTCAAGAAGTACGATGCCGCTGTGGTGGGCGCGCCTTTCGATGGCGGCACCACCTATAGATCTGGGACCAGGTGCGCCCGCACGCATGACATGACGTCATGTCATGCGAACGGAGTGGATGGCGGGACTGGACTGTGTGTGTGTGTGTGTGTGTGTGTGCGCAGGTTTGGTCCACAAGGAATTCGGCGCATCTCGGCCTTGTACAGCCCTTACAATTTCGGTCGGTAGACGGCAGGCAGGAGGGCATCAGACAGACCTCCTCTGGTCCCCTATCTCTTCATTCACCATGCTGTGCTGTATCTGTCTGTGTGTCTGCTTGTATGGTGTCAGAGATGGGTGTGGACTTGCGCGAGCAGATGACGCTCTGCGACACGGGCGACGTCTTCACGTGAGTGCGCCAGCATACACACAGTGTCTGCATGCCTTCCCTGTTGGCTGACTGTGGTTGGTTACATCCATCAAATAAATCAGTATCCCGGCCAACATTGAGAAGGCCTTCGACCAGATCTCCAATGGTGTGGGGTTCATTGCGGCCAGCGGGGCCTTTCCCATTGTGCTGGGCGGCGACCATTCTATCGGATTCCCGACGGTCAGGGGAGTCGCATCATGCACCAGGTGCTTAAGCATATAGAACACTCACACTCACACGGAGAGAAGGCGACCTGCCAATGAGTGTGTGTGTGTGTGTGCGCGTGCGTTGCAGCAAGAAGATCGGCATCGTCCATTTTGAGTGAGTACCGAGGCAGGCAGGAACGGAGCTGCAATCGAATCGAGATCTTGTGTGTGTGTGTGTGTGTGTGTTTCCCCCAATCCCTGCCAGCCGCCATGCGGACATCCAGGAGAAGGACTTGGACGAGCGAATGCACACCACACCCTAGTAAGTGAACAACGAAACACACAGAACCAAGCACAAGGCCCCATCCGCTCCCCTCGTATGTGTGTGTCAGTTTCCATGCGACCAATCTGCCCAACGTCCCTCCCAAGAATTTGGTGCAGATCGGCATCGGTGGCTGGCAGGTGCCGCGTGCGGCGCTGCCCGTCATGCGGCAGAGGAGACCCACCGTCTTCTCTGTCAGCGACGTCGAAGAGCTCGGACCAGAAAAGGCAAGACAGATAGACAGACAGACCGGGGTGGGCAGCCACTATACACTTCGGATGGTGGCTCTTCTGCAGGTGATAGAGATGGCGCTGGATCGCGCGTGGGACGGGGTCGATGCTGTGTGGCTGTCGTTCGACATCGACTGCATCGACGCCGCTTTCGTGCCGGGAACCGGTGAGTCGAAGCGACACAACCGCACAGCCTTGTCCGTCTATCCATCTGTGCACGTGTGTGTGTGTATGGTCCATATGCAGGTTGGCCCGAGCCTGGGGGCTTCCTCCCAAGGGAGGCCTTAAAGATGGTTGGCTTGGTGGCCAAGGAGGGCCTGTGTGGGATGGAGATTGTCGAGGTCAGTCCCCCCTACGACACCTCGGACATCACATCGCTGATGGCGCTGAGAGTGATCGTGGACACGCTGGGCTCCCTGGTGGCGCACGGCAAGATGGGCGCACACAAACACATCATCGACAAACCCTTCTCGCCTTTCTGATCCATGCATGGGTGGGTGTTCGCCTGGATGGTTGCGAGATACGTGTACTATGGATAGATGTATGTCGACCTGTGCAGCAGTTGATGGAGGCTGCCTTGCTGCTGATTGGCCTCCAGCATCAGGTGTCGCCGCCTGCCGCCTCATGGCAGGCAGGCCACACGTGATGATGGGGAACTGTCGGCATGCATCAAGTCAGCCCATGCTCGTATGTATGTTGTGCTGTGTGCGCATCTTGTCTGTCTGCTGGAGGCATTTTTGCCTCCTGGGTGTACGCGTACGTTCATTCGTGGGAAGGTTTTGGGTCTTGATCGATCTGGCTGCTGAGACATTTGTTCACAGACAGACAGACAGAAGAATGGATGGATGGACGGTCCATGCGCACAACAAAAGGGATTCCTCGCAACCCACACACACGAATGCATGCAATGCATTCACACCAACAAATGTATCCCTCCCAGCTCTCCGCCGGCTCAGTTAGTCAGTAGTCGTCCAGCATCGGGCCTGAATTGCAACGTCCATGCATATGTTGGCCTCCATGCCTCCATTTAGATTTCTCACCGCATGGCTGCAGCTTGTCGGCTTCCTCCTGTCCGTAGCGCGACACAAACGCGTCGTACGGCAGGTAGCCACCCCCCACACGGACTGACCGATATTGACACAGGGCACACGTATCCACATCGCCTCCCCTTGTTTCGTTCGGCCCTTGCTTACAGACGATGGCGTCGTTTTGTATGGTAGCGACGCATGTCTTGGTGCCGAAGAGGTAGGTGCCCTGCTCCCGCCGGCAGAAGGGGACGGGCGGGGGGTGCTCACGGACCCTCTCAGCCAGCAACGCGTCTATGGGGTCGTTCTGCACACACACACACAGGCAGACAGAAACACAGAGAATGGGCAGGGGTTGGGTTGCGTGTTGAAGTGTGCGTGCGTACCTTGACGGGAATGTATTTGGTGGTGATGACGTTGAGTCTGTTGGTGAGGTGGCGCACCTCACACGTCCGCTCCTCTAAAGCGCTCAACAGCTGACCACGATCCTCTGGCCGTGCATCCATCCAGACACCACAGACGTAGCATATCATCTATCTCTGTGTCTCTGTGTCTCTGTCTGTGGATAGATGTATACCATCCCATTTGATTGATCCGAGGCGCAGGTCCTCACACGCCTGGTAGTAATCCCCGCGCTGATTGACGACGCACGAGAAACACATGAAATGGATTGTAGAGACACGTGCCCCTCTGCTGTCTTGTGCGTGTCCGTACCATGGTGTCCATCTGCTGGTCCTTCTGGCTGAGCAAGTCACGAGTCTGCAGCCACACCGGACACACACACACACATATAATACACGAGACAGCAGCCCATTGTGTGTCTCTACTTGCCGTGCTCAAATGCCCCTCGACGTCACTCAAATGCGCCACCTGAGTGCAGGCCAGGCAACATCACATACACCCTGCGGACCGGATCTTCCTGTGTTTCTTTGTTTGCACCTTTGCGTCCATTTTGACGATGATGTCAGTCAGTTCGGCCCGCTTGAGCTCACCGGATTCCAACAACTCATCCTTCGAAGCTACCGTACGACGCATCTCCTACACACACCCAAACAGACACACATGCATCCATCGATCGAGCTATGTCTGGATGGCTGTGTGTGTGGTGGGGGTAGGTGCCTGCCTGTATGTTTGTCTCCAGCTCTTGCTGCCGGTGCTGCATCCCGGCCACCACAGAGCGGTGCTCCTCGGCTGCACGTGACGCATGCTCCTCCATCACACGCAGCTGATCCTACGCGAAGGAACGAATGCACACACATGACAGGGTGTCCTTGCCCACCTGTCCACCGATGTGTATAGGTACCTGCATGTGTGCCCTGGCTTGCTGTGCGGTGTGTGCCTCGTGCTGGGCCTGCGCAAGCCTCTCGGCCAGGCCGTCAGCCTCCTGTGGACGGACAATGGACAGACACCACAACGCATTAACGAGTGGGATCATTGGCGTGGTGCATTGATTGTGTGTACATCTATTTTGAGTTTCTGTTCGAGCGAGAGGATCTGAGCCGCCAACTGGTGCTTCTCGACTGTGCCCTGAGCAGATAAACGTGGGTGCAGGTGGAGGGGTGTGGCGGTTGGCGGTGTGTGTGTGGTTGCGCGCCTGCTGCACTTGTGTCTTAAGCTGATCTCTCTCTTTCAGCGCTGCGGTGCTCTGCGTCTGCAATTCCTCGTGCGCCTGTAGAAACAAAAGGAGCGGACAGACGAGTGGGTGGGTCGATGGATGGATGGATGGAAGACACACACGTGTATGCATTATGTGAGGTGTGTGCTGACTGACCTGTTCGAGCGCTTTGCGTTTCTGCAGGGCGGTGTTGAGTGCCGACTGCAGCTCCTCGTGTTGAGACGCCATGGCCTGACGCAACGAGCGAATGACACATACAGGCCATGTGAACACCTGCCTGCGTCAGTCAGTGCGGCGTACCTGTTTGGTGTCTTGTGTGCCCTTGGCCTCCCTCTGCAGCTGCTGCTTCAGGTACTCTATCTCGCACCTGTTTGTGGGTATGTGTGTGTGGGTGGGCATCCACCAACACATCCATTCATTCATTCATTCATTCATTGACGGCAGGTGGGGTGTGCCCACCCGTCGGCCAGGCGCGCAGTCCTCTCCGCCTCCAGTAGACTCCACCGCTCACCACGGACACTGATCGGCGAGAGAGACACGCACACACGTGGATACAACGGCAGAGACTGAGCCGCCGACCTTTCCACTCGTCTGTCCATCTCCGCTTGCAGGTCCTCATACCGAGACTCACACTGCACGCCGTGAGACGGATACACAGCCTGGCAGTGAACATCCAATTCACACACACCCTTACGTCCTGCAGCTGTTGTTTGGTCTGCTGGTTCTCTTCCTCCAGGATGGCGCGATGCCGATTCAACTCCTCCACTTGAGACCTGAACAAAGATGGGGCGGGGGCGTGAGTGTGAGTGTGGGTGTGGCTGTGTATTGTGGTGTGGATGAACCTGAATTGTTCGATGGCTGCCGTGTAGTGGCGGTGGAGCTCTGCCCGCTGGGACGCATGCACCTCCTGACCCTGATGTACGGCTGCTGAGGTGAGGTGCGTATGTATCTATGGGTGCATTACATCGATACACACCTCTTTGTCCAGCGCCATGCTGTTGATAGTCGCAGTCGCATCCTGATCAGAGAGACAGACACAAGGGACACATTGCATTGCACATGAAGGCCTCCACCCATTTCGCCTACACCCACGCACCTTGATCTGCCCCTGCAGGTGTGCAACGACGGCCTGGCTCTCGGCCTCCCGACTGCCCAGACCCCGACGCAGCTCATCTGTCTCAGCCTAATGATGATACACTCGTGGACAACACGCCCACATTCATGGCACCTGACTGAGTGGCTGACCTCTTGTGCTTTGAGCAGTCGCGTCTTTTCGGTGAGCTGGGTGTGGAGGGTCTTGTTCTCGGCTACCAACCTCTCGTTCAGATGTGACAACTCCTGCACACACAAGGGTGGGACAGACAGACAGAGATGCGACATGGAAGAGGACAGTGAGTGTATCGTTCACCTCGACACGCTTGGCGAAGGAGTCCTTGGCGCTTTGCAGCATCTCACGGAGACCCGCCTTCTCGACCTAACCAAACGCCAAAATGCCCGCCACATTCATGTGTTCTGTGTCGGATGATATGTATACCTGGTGGCTGTGTTCTTTTTTGGTCAGGAGTTTGCACTGCTTGGCCATGTCATCCAGCACCTTCAACCGCTCCTCCAACGCCTGCACGGCACCGCACATAGGAAGGAAGCACATGATGCGTTCGTTCTACTGCCCATCAATCCACCTCCTCTCACTCACCCCAATGATGGTCCGATACGGCGCACTCTGCGACCACAGCGCCTCAGAGTTGCGCATCCGCACGTCAGCAGCTCTCAACTCGCCCCTATGGCCATACTCCACCTCAGGCACGCTAAACCCACCCCTTTCTTCCCCGAGACCTCCAGCCAAGGACGACTCTCCCTCCCTCTGCCTCTCCTCCTTGCTGCCCTTGGCCCGAGCTGGCGGCAGCATGGTCCCGGAGGAGGAGGGGGATGCCCCACTGCTGCTGCTGCCAGGGATGCCCGCCCCGGTAAGCAGCGCGGGGGAGTTCTGGTGCGGCAATACAACACATGGCTCGGGTGGTGCTGGTGCAGATGTCTGAGCGGGACGGTCGGACGAGAGTTGGCCTTCCCCAACATGAGCAGCCTGCGTGTGCGGTCCTCCATACGACACGCTGACCGGCAGCACCCTCACCCCCGCACCATGGCCCCGGACTGCGGGGCTGAGCGGCATCCGCACTGTCTGTGTCTGTGTGAGGGCAGGCGGCCGCACACCGATGCCCACCCCATTGTGCAGCCCCGGCGGCCTGGGGAAATAAGGCGACTGAGGTGGAGGGGTCCGGAACGGGTGCAGGAGCGAAACCGATGGGCTCCGCCGCACACCCGCCGGTCGATGTCCGTCGGGCAGGTGGCTGCCCGTGGTCTTCCTGCCGGGGGGCGTCAGAGTACGGAAGGGCGGGGGGCGAAATGCGATACCTGCTGCTGCTGCTGCTGCCGGGTGCGGAGGGGGTCGGGGGAGCTGCTGCTGGTGTTGCTGGTGTTGCTGGTGTTGCTGGTGTTGCTGGTGTGGGACGGGAGCGAACCGGGACATAAGTGCGGCCCGGTGCTGCAGAAAGGCCGCGTCCATGGACTCCACAGCCTTGGGGGCGGCCTGCAACAAGGAGAGAGATGGAGCCCAATGTCACGTTTGTTTCGTCCATAATCTTTCTTTCTACCGTCTTGAGTGCGTGCTCGTCCCAGAGCTGCATGAGCACGTAGACGAACACAGCTGAGGGAGGGGGCGGCAGGTGCTCCACACACCCCACACGGGCGGTGGTCGTCGCATCCCCCCCGGCCCCATCGCTCACGGTCGCCGGCAGCCGCACATCGACGGGCGTGCCGCTGGGGAGGGCGCGGAGTCTGACTGCGGCGCGTGCGATGACCCGCGGCTGCGATGGGTGGCCGTCGAGGAGAGAGAGGATGCAGCAGTCCTCGGTAGAAGAGAACCTAAACTTGCAGATCTGAAACGTCGGCTGCCAGACACAAAGAGAACCCATTGCAAATGATTGCAGGTCATCCTGATACTGGCGCGTGCCGTACCACTCTGGTGGCGGACTGTCCGCATTGGATGCAGACTTGGGCTACCCTCCTCTCGGCCTGAGGCGACCCTGGGAGCCTCAGGTTGTGCCCCAGCACGCTCACAAACAGCATCTCACGTGGGGAATCGCTGTGTTTACAAACGTTTACAAATCACCAAAGGGAAGGCGGTTGTGGCATCTCGCTGCGTATCCCATTCCCATTCGTGAATCCCCCCTACCTGTCGGCGCGCGTTGTCTGTGAGGACCTACCTACTGTCGTGTGGTGTCGTGTCGTGACCATGGTCAAGAAGGCGGGCACCTCTGCGGGCGGGAGCAAGTCCAATGGCGGCGGGGGTGTCAAGAAGGACCCCAAGAACCCCAAGAACGCATGTGAGCACACCACACCGACGTGTGTGGCCGCATTCCCTGATGGGGTGGGCGCGGCGCGGTGCATATGGGGTGGTGTGCAGACTTCCACTATGCTGCGAGTCGTCGTGAGGAGTTGAAGGAGATGGGTATCAAGGCCAGCCTCATCAACAAGAAAATGGGTAATGCGATGGATGGGCCGGATGCATCTGGGGAGGCGTCATACGGACATGGTCTGTGTGTGGTGTGTGGTGTGTGGTGTGTTGTGGTGTGTGCAGGCAAGGAGTGGCGTGAGATGGAGGATGAGGACAAGAAGCCCTACATCGATATGGCACGGATGCATCTCACAAACACATGCAAACACACACATGGACGGCACGTCACCACAGACATGGATGTGTGTGTGTGTGTGTGTTGTGTGGTGTGTTGTGGTGTGTTGTGGTGTGTTGTGGTGTGTTCAGGCTAAGGAGGACCAGCAGCGCTACGAGCGTGAGGTCGAGGCATCCGACGACTGAGCAGAGCAGAGCAAAGCAGAGCAGATAGAACGTAGATAGATCCACCGACGGACCCACCAACCACACAACACAACACCACACACACGGCAACACCAACAGAAAGAAAGACCCATCACTGACTGTGGCATACACACACACATGCTGCGCACACACAGATACACACAGATACACACACACACACACACATACAACACGAAGACCATACAAGACAGCCGCAGTGCGATAGCCCACCCCGCCTGATACCACCCCGCCTCGCCCCATCCCATCCCATCATCTGTGCAGTGACTGGCTGTGTGTGCATGTGCGTGTGCCTGTGTGCTCGTGAGGCGGAGGAACAGAGAGATAGGTAGAGGGAGGACCTTGACGCGGGGGTTCATACGTGTGTGTGTGCGTGTGTAATGCGTGTGTTTGTATGCTCGCGTAGGACTGCCTGCATGTGCGTAAGACCCTTGATGAAATGAGTGAATGGATGAAATTCAATTCTCCGGTGGATTCCACAAACATCCAGCACATCAGCCACACCTCTCTCGCTACCCAACAAAACCCAACAGAGCCCTAGGGCCCCCCACATGGCCTGCTTGCCATCACAAGAAGGAGGTCTACGTTTTGTGTCACTCCTACAGGTCCACACAAACGTGTGGGCGTTGACACAGAAGAAGGAGCCAGTGCAAGCACCATTTTTTGATGAGTACATTGATTCCATCTCTATGTCGTGGCTGAGTCCCGTCTCCTCACACGGATAAAAGTCCCATACTTGTGGTATACAGCCTAGCAGGTCGACCACCTACCTACTTACATGTCATATGCCGGTCTCGGTCTCGTGCCGTATTGCACGTGTGGACACAGCTCTCTCAAGCGCACCTCACCAAAGACGGCAGGCTGCAACGCGCGCAGTAAAAACAGGCTGATGTAGGGCACCATAATAGCTATAATCACGGCTGTCGCGGCTAACAATGCTGCCAGCCTGAATGTGAGAACTCCGGGCTCATCGTCCCCTCGCAAAATCGGCAGGTTGTGGAGACGCACCGAAACCTACAGATATATGCACCACACACAGGGTGAAAGGCAATACGGCTGCATATATATGTCTACAGGCCGCCGTCGCTGGCTCCACTGGCTCCACCACTGACCATAAAGAGGACGACTTCGCACGCCATCTCGACAGCGACCAGGAGACACAGTCTGCCCAGCCTCTCAAACAGCCGGGGCAACGACGGAGACAGCAGCTGCTCCATCGAGACAAGTGATAGATTGATGAAAATCAGGATCAGGCTCTCGGCCTGGTTGTAGGCGTGCTGCTGGTCGCTCAAAGCTCTAAGATACCTCGGGCGGACGTCATACGCCATGAAATTGCTCTGCAGATGGATCACGGATGTCATGGACGACAGTCCGCTCGAGCTCGACCGCATGCGCCGTCCCGCTCGCACCACACTCTGATAGATCTCACTCGACGACCGCCCCGTCTCCCCACTGCCGGCTCGGTTGATGAATAACGCTGCTTCTTTCTTGCTCGCTGCCCGTGTGCTGATTGTCTCACTGCTGCCTGAAGCCTCAGAAAGGCCATGGCGGACAGCAGTGTCTCTCGGTTTGCTGCGCCTATCATCGCTCGGCTTGGCCAAGAGGCCGTCGCGGGTGCGCTTGAGCGCTCGGATGACGTTGGCATGGAGCATGTCGGCGTAGGGCACCGCCAGGTCACCCAGGAGGTCGTAGATGGCGAACATCAGAGACGACTTGATCTTGTAGCTGAGGGCAGCCATTTCAGCCTGGATAAAGAACATGCGTACCTACCGACATTCTTGCGCTGAGGGATCCTTATACTGACTTGCAAGAGGCGAGGTACGATAAGCGATCCAGCAACCATGGGAAAGATGACGCAGTAGTTGAATAGAGGAGGGCCATCCCGCATCTTGCGAGCGGATCCATTCACAATTGCCACCAGAGGCCAGCAGATCAACAAAGAGAAAAAGGCCACTTGTGCTCTGTCATCGTCCGTTGTGGCCCTTTCCGCCTTCGAAAGGAACAGGACTTTCCAGAACCAGGCTGCCAGCACGGACGTGACAAAAAGAGATGTCATCTGAACGGTATACAGCCATCGTCTTTTGATCACGCCCCTCATGTCTCTTGACGACTGCCAGTAGAAGCAGAAGGGCAGCATGATCCCCGATATTGCAACCTCTGCTAACCTCTCGACTCTGTTGTGGCGCGTAGATACACGTTGACAGACACAGATGCAGCCAGCGTCGCTCTCAGCCTGTCTGTGTATTTCCCGCTTACGTACATGAGCTCGATCCTTTGATATGAGTATGGCCGAGAATACACCCCCCAGGTGCGGTGATAGTGTGGACCGCTGCGCAGAGGGCAAAAAGGTACCACGACTTGCGCAGGCGTTGAAGTATTCTGCGCAGGTGGCATCCCTCAACCAGCAATATGAACCAAGCACTTATTGCCGTCCAGACAATGATCATCCGCGTATGATCGACAACGACCGATGGAATCTTGTAGCCGCAGGTAACAAATACGCTGAGTAGCAAGCCGACCAGGGGCAGTGAAACGAGAAATGCGAAAAGCACTTGGAAGATAAGCACCCGCAAAACTCGCCGCAATGACCGCATGAACGGCTCAGGGGAGAAACGCGCGCCCACCAGCACCTCCTGTACTCTGACCGCCTCCCCATCCGTTATGACAGTTGGCTCATAAACGAGGCGCGATTCGAACTCCTCGAACGCCGCCGGGTATCCTGCACGCACGGATGTGGGGAAGAAATGGCAAGCAAGGACGGACATATCACACGTGTGCCGTGTGTGCCAAAGCCCGCTCCCGTGACTCACCGGCAGCCTTTTCGAATTCCGTTTTCATCGCCTGGATGGCCATCTCTTCGGCCCTGTTGGCTGGCGGCTCTGGCCCCACCTTCTCAGAGATGTCCTGGAGAGTGCTCGACTGTGACGCCGCATGATGACAGGCGCTCCGGAGACCATTGGTTTGGCACGAAGGACTCGTCCTTTGTTGAAGATCAAGGTCCAGGAGGCACTCGCTGCTGTGCACCTCTTTGTCGAGCGCCTCTTCCAAATCGGTCGTGAGCTGTTGGGGCCTCTCCTGCTGCTCAACCGACTGTGTTGCGCACGTGTCCTCGCAGTTGGGGCCGAGGGAGGTGTGCATGTCCTTCCGAAGACCACATTCGTGCCCCGGGCAGGGCTGTGACGGCACCTCGGGTTCTTCATCCAACTCATTGTCGCTGCGGCTGACACTTGGGCTGGCAGCATCACCATTATTGATTGGAGAAACGATGGTGTGTTCGATGGACACCATGATGTTGTCGGGGGAGAAATAGATTCTCCTTTGCTCGCTTAGCTCGCAGTGGGGGTCGTAAATACGAGGAAACCGCAAAAGGAAAAGGTTTGGTGTGAGTAGATGGCTCGTGAAGGAGGTGTAACATTCGCTGCCGAGGACCAAACCGTACATCTGGAAGACGAAGGGAAAGAAGACGCCGAGGTACAGTAATGTCTGTGTGGTGGATGGCCTCCAATATGCGTGCAGCCTTCTCTTGTCGTTCATCAGGCACAGCATGAGGGCACGTCCGCCGCTCTTCGCGCATCGCACATTCGTCCCTCTCTGTTGGAGAAAACTCCCCGGTTTCTGGGCGGCCGCGTGCTGCGACGGATCCGGAAGGAGGACTGGGGTCGGCCGTCGAGAATGCGGGGCAACCAGCGGCTGCAGGGCTCCTTCCGGCTGCTAGGACGGCACCTCAAGACGCCATGCACAGAGGACTGGGACAAGGAGAGCACACACACAGACGTCGCCCTCATGGCCACCGACGGGGGCGAGTCAAACCAGAATCAGAACACCCTGACGCCATCGCGGCCGCCGTCCCCGGCCATGCAGGCGCCTCAACCCTTGTCCATTGTCATTGACGAGACTGTGCACATGGAGCATCAGAGACCCACCATGCGGAGTCCCCGGCCGACCGAGCACGAGGGCGACACCCACCCCTCCCCCTCCCGCCCATCCTCGCCCGCCAGTGCTAGCGGCCAGCATCTGACGTACGACTCACACCCGGCCCCGAGGTCGTCGCGGACGAACCCCTCCCTGCTGCCGGTGAGGAGTCGGTCGAGCGACAATAATGGGTCGGTGCGGGTGGAGGTGGACCGTTCGGGGTTTCGGAGCAGGTCACGCACCAAGCAGAGTCCGATGGACGCGCCCAGCCAGGAGGGGGGGCAGAAGCAGATGGAGTTGCTAGAGAAACAAATCCAGTACCGCGAGAAACTAGAAAAGGTGCGGCGCAGCCAAGCCATTCATTGGTTCCTGCCTTCCTTCCCTGCTTGGTCCGTGCATTCATTATAAGTGTGTGTTGTTGATGTGTCTCAATAACTAACGACCAGGCGGTGTTGATATTCAACAACACGGGTGTCTCAGCGTGCTTGGACTACATGAGCGAGGAGGGCATGATCGACCAGGAGGACTCGCTCAGTGTGGCGCATTTCCTCCTGACTGTAGAGGGACTCGACAAGAGGAAGATAGGAGAACTGCTCGGCAAGGACAATGCGCTGTCACTGGCCGTGCTCAATGGCTTCGTACAGCTGCTAGGTACCTTACCTCTCTCTACACACACATCCAGGAAGGAACAAACCACCCACCTATCTGTTCTGTTCATGCATGGCATGCGGCTGTCGACTCGAATTGATTGCAGATTTCCATCATTTGGCGTGTGACGAGGCGCTGCGGTACTTCCTGTCTCGGTTTTTCCTCCCCGGGGAGTCGCAGATGGTCTATCGAGTGCTGGAGCGCTTCTCTGTGCGGTAGCACATATGACAAAACAAACACCACAATGACAGACAGCACACAACGCCTCCATCTCCCTTCCTTCGTATAATTTGTGTAGGTATGCGAGGGACAATCCGGAGGACGGTTTGTCCAGCGACCAGGTGCTGACATTAGCGTACGCCCTGGTGATATTGAACACGTCCCTCCACTCGCAGCAGATCAAGCCCACCGACAGGATGAAGAAGGCCGACTTTGTCGACATGTGCACCAAGGGGGGCGTCCCGGTCGGCACCAGCAGGCTCGAGGAGATGTTCGACCGCGTCCACGTGGGGCCTTTCAAACCTTCTTTCTCGGCGGGCGACAAGGTCAGCAAGTGGCCACACTACTGGATGCCGTCCGTATCCCTCTCTGATGCGCCTGTCTATGTGTGGATATATACAGGTGTACGGCCGTCTAGCTCGCGACCCGAAGGTGATCCGTGGTCACGCCATGGCCAAGACGACGCCGGTGGATGTGGTGCTGCTCAAGCAAGGCTCTCAGTTCGTCAAGTACGGCAGGCGGGGTCGCCCCCACGTGCGGCAGTTCTGGCTGGCCGACAACGAGAAGCGTCTCTACTGGGGCACACCGCCCCCCCCACACCACTTGCGGAGGCGGCCGTCGCATCCCGCCGTGCTGACCTCTGGGAGTGAGTCGGGCGGCTCGGGAGGGAGGGCCAGCGACCGGCCGTCGAGCGCACTGAAGCCCAAGCGGAAGCGCATGCCGAGATACATCAACCTCGATCAACTCACCGGCATGACCATGGTACGGTACCGCTATAACGCACACACGAATGCAGGAGGCAAGACGTGCAATGGATGGGAGGATGCAATGCATGTGTGAGTGCAGGGTCCATCGTCAGCTGTGTTCCGTCGTCAGCGAGTGGCGGATGAGTCGGACGCGCGGTGTTTCTCGCTCCACGCCGACGAGCGTACGGTTGACCTGTTCGCCCCCGAGGAGATCTGGCCGCCCCTCGTCATGTGGACCAACTTCTTCCACCAGTGCCTGCAGGAAAACCAGGACAGGAGACCGCTGCAGAAGCCTATAGATGGTCAGTCAGCCACCTATATATAAGTGATTGTGCCCCGTGTATTTATCCATGTGTGTGGGTGTGTGTGGGTGTGCACATGTGCAGTGTTGAAGGAGGAGATGGCATTGCGTCGTCGAATGGAGGAGCATCGTTTGGCCAAGTGGCGCGACGAGGTGCTCCCCAACTTCTCCCAGCACTGGAACTGCGGTGCCGGCCTCTGCAGCGGCTTCGACAGGGAGCGGCTTCCAGGCAACGAACCCAAGGTGGTCCTGCACGCCGCCAGGAAATTCGCACTCGACCGCTCCAGGCGGTACGAGACGGCCGCCACTGCCGCGCTCTGCGAACTTTGGTCAGCCAGCCAGCCAGCCGCACACGCAGTATATGGATGGATGCACACAGACAACACACTGTCACACAGTCACTCAGAGATGCTGTGTTGATTTGATTGTGTAGGTGTCAGGGAATCCCGGATACGTTGCGCTGCAAGTTGTGGCCGCTGGCGATCGGCAACGAGCAGCGCGTCAGTGAGGAGCTGTTCCACCACCTGAGGGACAAGGTGGCATGGCTGCAATCGCAGAACGACCTCACCAGCAGGGCGTGCAAAAGACACATAGAGTCTTTCCACAGGGTAAGTACGTGGGTCGGTCGGTGGGGGGG